TCTGGGTCTTTTTCCTGGAATACCAACATCCACCGTGAAGAACGTTCACTAATTCCCATCATCACTTCTGTTGCTCTTTCTAGCTTCTGATCAACCTTTTCCAGGAAAAAGGAGGAAGCATGGTGATTGCTGGATATCTATTAACCATCAGTGAGCGCCTACGTTAGCTTAGGGAAAGAAAGCATCTTCACAAACCACAGAAAGATGTAGAAACATTAACAGTTTGGGACTTTTTGACTCACTCTTGAGTTGGGTTTTTTGGGAGAGCTCATCCTCATCCACTGCCTTGACTTACACACCCTCATTTGTCTCCTTGTCAAATTAAGTGCACATCATCTCATCGGTTCTCACAGATGTTGAGGTACAGAGACCAAGAGTACATTTCTTTACTGGGTTTCATGATTGCCTGTGCGTATGTAAATACAAGACAAGTATGTACCAGTCATTTTTTTCTCGTTTTGCTTTGGAAAGGCTCCAGAAGGCTTTTCTCCACTTTGGGTCAAAGGTGGTTTAATGGCTTTCAGACGAGCCATCTGCTCCTCCTCGTCAGTCACAGCGACTCCAATGTCAGAATGATGGCTTTATGGGGCAATGTGGCTGTAAGTGATAATTAACAGCCGGGGCGTCGGAAGGGTTGTACAAGAATGTTGAAATCAACCCTGTTTAAACTGTCAGACAGGATATGAGACGCGTGATATATCGAACGTGTGTGTGTTGAAAATGTGTGCGTGTGTGAGAATTTATTAACTTCGGTGTCATTGCAAAACTAAACTCTTATCTTAATTTGTAAGAATATAAAATAATTTATTCCTAACCCAAACCCAGGACTTTTGAATCCAACTATTTTGTTGCTGTAACAGTTTTCAGTATTGTTGTTGTTTTATATGGTGGCTTTTTTTTTTTTTATTGCTCTCTGCTTCATTCCTTAAATATCCGCTTCCCTATTAAGACTTGCAGCTTCAAAGTCCTTCATGACTACCTGCTTGGGGAAAATATAGGAAAACCTTTGAAAAAATAATCTGTAGACTGAGGAGACAATCAGTTCCTCGCATTTGGACACCAGCAGGTCCAGAAATGAGTTTTCTTGTCAAAGTCTGAATGTAAATCAGTGAGATGCTATTGTAAAACCTTAAACATGTTCATGCTCACAAACCCAAAATGGCCGAATCCTTGTGTCCATGTTTGTTTGGACAACCAGGTCAAAGTAGTTTGATCAGAAGCATCTCGGCTGAAACTGAGGAAATATTTTGGTAATTTTCATCATTTTTGTTTGTTAAAACGTTTAACAGTTTAACATCAAAAATAGTAGCATGTGTAAAACGTGAAACGCCTGCATTTTTTAAACTTTATATTGCAACATTTTGTTAATAAAAGCAGAGTTTTTGAAAACAAAGCTGCTTCTCGATGGTTGGCCTTCTGAAGCTGAGTTTATTTTGGAGTGATCCTGCAACGCTGAAGTACCAGATCTGTTTACTGGAACAGTTTATCTGCTTTCAATCTACATTAAAACTCAAGTAGAGTCTGATTGAAAGGCAGAGAGGACTACTCTTCCAGTGTTTTGTAATGATCTCTAAGACTGTGAATCCACACTTAAGACAGTAATTTGTCCTCCATCTCTGGCTGCTGGGAAAGTTCCTGATCTTTCTGTTAATTCATGTGCTTCTCCTCCTTTTGGGGTCAGCATCTCACAGACTCTCTCAGTTGCTGTTTGAAGTGTTGCCATTGTGTAAAATCCCCCTCCTAGCTGGGTTGAAGGGCATCTCCGCTTTCAGCTGGTCCTTCTTCTCTAACGTGATCGAGATCAGACATCAGTGGTTTGGTTGTTTACCAGGGTAGTTATGGCTAATAATTACAGCTGCTGGGATGTTGAGTCATTAATAATCTCAGCATGAAGGGAGCAAATAAGAGGGTTTGAGAGGAGAGGAGGTGATGCAGGAAGATCAGTCTGGGTGGGCTGCTGTTACTTAGATATGAGTCTGAAAGTCTCTGGGTTAGTTTTATCAAAAGGTGTGCGTATCATTGCTGTCTCTGGGTGTCTTATTAACCGAGGCGCCTCGGAGCGGATGCTAAGAGTGCGCAGCTTTATGTAAACATTATCAGACCCGGCAGAAAGATGAGTCTTCTGCTGTCTTCTTTCTAGCTGCTGAAAGACTAAAACACATTTTTTCACCAACAACGTTGCAGCACGTAAATCACAAGAAAAAAGTCTAGCATGAATATCACATGTATGTAAACCCACCAGTCATGTTTACAAAACATGGACATAAAAATGAAGGATGCATGCATATCAAGCATGTGTATTAATCTGAAACAAAATGTTGGTATGATGTTTATCTTAGAGAGCATCAAGCCACTTAACTCTGAATTTGCATGCTCCAACAGTGTTTTGATTGTGATCAGCTCATTTGAAGATTGCTTATCGGTTGTCATCTAATCGACTGAGAATGTGCAGCCCCATTTCCTTCAAGTTGTGTTTCATTAATGTCTAAATGAAAAGCAGTGGCGCTTTTAGCTGCTCGAGTGATAAGAAAACTGTGTTGAGCAGACAATTAATGGGCTGATCAGTATCAGAACTGACTTCCTGAATACAGAAGCTGCTGCCAATGTTTGCGTGATGTGATTTACTAAATTAGGTTTAGTAAAATCTCTTTGCAGGTATAACAGAATACTGTGAGACGTTATCTGCAGTTTCAGATGATCAAACAAATATTAATATCTGATAAGATGAGCTTTTATAAACAACTAATTGCTCCCCAAACCTGTTCGTCCCACATTAACATTTGTAAAAACTGGAGACGAGTCATTTTGGTCCATTTTTCTTTGCTGACAAACGTAAGGCAACAAGCTAATGCACTTTCTCTACTTTGTGCTTCCATCAATTAACTTATTGTGCATTTCTTAAGCAGCAGAAATGGTCAGCTGTAGTTTTGCACTTTTGGAGTAATTTGTCTTACCACTGTTCTGTGTTTTCTTCCACTTTAATTAAGGCTCTCACTTTGGTTCAGTGCTTCTCAGACATGTGTGTCAGTGGGCTTCTCAACTCTCTGAATCATTTTAGATCTGGGCATAATCTGGTGCCTTTTGGGATCTTTTAGCCCACTTCGTCTGATAAATTGTGTTTCAACGATTTCTTGATTCGGCAGTGATGGTCATGGAATAAAATAAATGATGCTTCCTGTGAGGCTCTTTTGTCAGATTAAAAGTAGTAGGTATTAAACACTTTATTAAGTCCACATTTTTTTTGGACTTAACATTTTTGTAGTACTGCAGTTCTGATGTAATTTTCTAATTTAAAATTTTGTGTTTTCAATAGTTGTTAGCAGAAAATTATCACAGTTAATAAAAATAGAGATTTCAAAGGATCAGTCTCTGTGTAATCTGTCGATATAATGTGTTTGATTTGGTAAATTGAGATACTGAAATAAATTAACTTTTCATTAATGAATATGACTGTATATTGGATCATTTATCCAGGTAGGATAAATGAAATTGATCAATTCTTGTATGAAAACTGCCTTATATGTTTACCTAGGTTATCAGTCTTTATGATGATCAAAGTAAGTGTGGCAAAAATAGAAGAAATTTGTAAGTGGGTAAACACCGTTTCACAGCATTAAATAAGTATTTAAGTTTTGTACATTTCTGTGAGTTTTCTATTGTCTCATCACAACACAAAGAAATACCAAAGACAGCAAACGTCTGATCCTCACTCTCATTTGGAAGCTGCAAAAGTCAAGACTAGGAACCCATCTGGATCCCCGACTCTTCTCCAGTCAGGTCAAAACACTGTTAATAATTCATGCCTCTCTTCAAAGCAATGCTGTGATGGACAAAACGTTCCTCTCACTCTAATGGAGGCTGCTGAAGATTCAGTTTTGAGCCAGTCACTGACTCCTCAGGCCAACTTTGAGGCAACAAAAACGGATAAGTTATGTACCAGTGCTGTCAAAATTACTCACTCAGCGGTCTTGTTTTTAATAAGTTGATTAGAGTAAATGTTTGGGTTGGCATTTTAAATGTTCTTCTATCAGTGGTTGGTATGATTAGCACAGTTAGCACTGCCAGCTTTATAAAAACAATCATCACCATGTGAATATTTTAGATAAGGTAGACTCTCTGAAACAAAATGTTCCTGAACAAAGTTCAGAACAAACAAACTAAAAAGATGATTGTTGTACTCTGTCTAGCCTTCATATTATCTACAAATAGTCCAGCACTCTCTTGATCTTCCACATCCTCCATAATGAGTTTCTCCCAGTTTTTGTGTTTCCTGTGTCTTCACTTTATACACCCATCTCATTCTGAAACTCTTTCCTCATTAACAGTCTCTGGATTTGACGCTGTGCGTTCACTGAGTGGAAAGAGGTGGGATTTACAAGATTTTCTAATTGGCTTCTTTTGGGTAAGGATCAAACAGGACAGATTTTACAGACGGTGTCTCTTCTGGGAACAAAATAACATTAAAAACTCAATGTAAGTGTGTCCATGTTGTATGGAAAAAACCTCTGCAAAATTATCACTGCTCTCATTTTACTCTTTATAGGTAAATGAGTAAAATGAACATTGTTCTTTTATTCTATGAACTACTGACTACATACCAAAACAAAAGAAAATTAGTATTTATCTGTAGAAAATGAGAAATGGTCAAAATAACAAAAAAGATGCAGTGCTTTCAGACCTCAAACAATGCAAAGAAAACAAGTTCATATTAATTTAGAAAGAACAAACTCATGTTTTAACACAGGAGTTCAGAAATCATTATTTGGTGGAGCAATCATGATGTAGGATTCAGTGCAGTGGTCTCTTCATTTTTTCCAGATCTGTATGTTTGTATTTCTTGTTTTACGACATAAATCTTTCTACTATTGTTTTTCTTTACTAAATTTAAGCAACGTTTGCCGAATGCTGCGTCTAATATTTAGCTTTCTGTAGCTTAGATTGAAGGTTGTCAGTAATCCTGCAGCCTCAACACACGGTGGATAAATAATCGTGCAGATGGATGATGGGTGGAAATGAACTCATGCTTTTTGTTTATTCTCTTGTCACACATACCAGCTGGAAACTTAACAATGTAGATGACACGTGCAACTTGCACCATTACTGCTCACAATGATGATAGTCTTGGATTGGTTTGCCACTTAGATAAGTTCAGAAACACCTGCAGAAAGAGGAACGAAAGGCAGCAGAACAATTACTTATTATAAACGAGGAAAAAACAGTTGTGAGTCATTGTTGCACCTTCTACCAAAAAAGGCAAAGAGCTTCTGCCGAGGACCTCATCCCGTGCGTGAACGGCCAGAGAGCTCTTGGTGTGTGGCTGCTCGCGTCTGCGCTTGTGTGTAATCTATCTTTAGCCCTAATATGCCAGCAGCAAGCGGCGCACATCTCATAGTTTAGAAGCCATGTCATGAGACTCCTCTCGCTCCCCGCCTGAATTTCTGTATCGTCACAATCTGAGCAGCAGAAAAATATTGTCCCTGCCGGCCTTTCCCATACAGCGTGTGTTATTTTATTGCTGCCTGCTCACAGAGTGGCTGACATGGAGACCGTTTGCTGGACTGGAACGTGGGAAAGAGGATGGAGGGGGAGTTTGTACCATCATGGGAGCAGGCATGAGGAAATGGCCCACTGAGATCCACTCTGAGACACACACACACACACACACACACACACACACACAGAAAGGGAAGTAGGTGTAAGTTTGTGAGGCGGAATGTAATTCCCCATATTTTTTTAATATTATGGGAGCCGTAGAGTAATACATGGGAATAAGACTGCATCCCATAATCTCTGTGTAAACGTGGAGGAGAGTGTATCAAAATATCTGACAGTGGAAACTCTGAGTAAGGGGCACCAAGTAGAGCTGTAGATTGACTATCAAAGAGCAGAGAACAGAATGAACTTCCTCTGGACTGCATGAACTGCTGACAGGAGACCAAAGGCCGTCTTATCAAGGAGGAATTGGGCTCAGCTCGCAGAAAGCCGTGCCACTTTTGGCAGCTGAGTGTGTCGGGATCTTCAGTCATGTGTGCTAACTTTCCACAACATTTGATGAAACAGATGGGAGACATCTGATAGCTACAATTATCTTGTTAAAAAGCACATAGAAAGTAGCAGATGTTATCGTTCCTGATGTGGAACAACATGTACTGATCCAATCACAAAGGACCGTCAGAAAGCCGCTACAACTGAGGCTTCCTGATTTCACACCCAAAAGTGTGAAATCATTTGATCAGCTGTAAGGATTCTCCTTACCCATATTATAAATTATAGAGACTTAGACTTAGATTGTCATCAATTTTAAAAAATTATGCACTTAAAACAAGCTCCTATATGTTGCTGAAAAGTAACTACGGCGCACACGTAGACCGGTCGGGACACTGAGACGATAAAGGAGAAAGATCAGGGTTAGGAAAATGTTGGTATCGTGATCACATCAGCCTTCAATGATAATATAGCAACAACAAGGTCTTCTAATGCTGCGTAGGCCTTCTGACACTTTTAGATTTATATTTAGCAGATCTAGTTTTAAAAGCTACATTTGATGAGTTGAAATATTCTTTGATATGATCGTAAGATGAGGCCTTTTCCATTAAATGCATGTGCATTTCATTCAATATTGTAACAATTTGAGGGTAAAATTCCCGTTTGCAAGGTCTTTCTTTTAATTTGATCTATTTTTCATTTCTATTTTCCATTTTTGTAATTCTGGTCTAGTTTCTAGTTGAAATATTTTATTACACTTGAAATAAGGCTTACACTAACTTGCCAGTAGGAGCTTGTTTTAAGCACAGCATTTCTTAAAATTGATGAAAAAGTACTTGTTCTATTGGCAGATTATTTCACTTACAGCAAAAAACTTTCCCCGTGTCACAAGGGAAATAATCTGCCAACAGAATCAGTACTTTTTCAGCAGTACTAAGGAATGTTACTTTTAAGTTAATTTTGTCTTATTTCAAGTGCAATAAGACATTTGCCATGGAAACTGGACCAAAAATACTTGATAATATTTAATGTTTTTACATTGTAGTTTCACTAATCTGTGAACCTGTTTACTGGTGATTCATTAAATTAAGTGATCCTAATTCTTTGTGTATTCTTTAATTTGCTCTTGTTTAACCCTTCAGTTAAAGACTCAGTGGTATTTTATAGATGATGTTTTGTATCACATATCTCGTTTGGAGTACAAAAAAGTGAAAAAGATGCTTTCTTTCTTTGCATGGCTTTCAAATATGTTTCCTCAAGGAGGCATAAAAAAATGAGACAAACTTGGATTGTCAGACCTCAGGATTGTCAGGAAACGCTGTGAAGCCGGGGTCTTTACGCTTTATTTAGTGGCAGCTGATAGGAGCAGGTGGAACAGGGTTTATATTTACTACTTCAATTTAAACCTCCTGTATTGACAATGCTGTTGCCAGGAGTGAGTCTCATCTGGAGCCTTCTTTGTGCGGCCTGTGAGTCAGCAGAGATACTTTTGAGGACGGAGCTCTGGGAACCGAGCGATGACCTTTACAACAGGTGGTCTGCTGAAACCACATGCACCATCACATCATCAGGAGAAACTGGAGAGCAGTGTGACTCCCTCCTCCTCCTCCTCCTCCTCTCTGTTGTGTGGTCTGCTCCTCTGATCCTCTCCTCTCCTCTCTATTTACATTCCTAGTCTCCACTATCGTTCCCACATTCTGAGGAGTCGTTAACCGTTTTTTTTTTTTTTAGTTTTCATAAAGGCACGCCGGGTGGATGCTGCCGGCATTTGGCTCCGGATCCCAAGAGGATCTATGATTGTTGTTAGGGAAAGTGTCTGACACATGACTGTGAAGATCACCTTGTTTTCCCCCTGAGGCATTGAGGGAATGTGCAGCTTGGTTGCCACAGCTGCCGCCGTCCGTCTCTTTGCCTCTGCACACGGCAATGAAAACATCACCTGAGCCCAGCGGATGCCACAGTTGGAGTCTCTCATGGTGCAGAACGGTTCAGTAAATGATCGCGTCGAGATCTGCATCCATCCATCATTACACACCATATCAAATTGGTTTGGTATTGGTGATACGCTGTGGTGCATTTCTCAAATCTTCGAATCATTGTGTCAGTCGTGCACATCGTGCAATGTGCAGTTCTCGACTTTTTCCTACATTTTCGTTGGCGTGTCGTGGATCTTTGTTCAATCGTCTCAACCTCCACAAATCGTCTCAACCTCCACAACATTTAAGAATGAAAGTCCTAACATGCAAAAATGCTTAAGCATGAACATTTCTGTTAAAACACGAGTCTAAGAGTTTCTTTAAATATATATGTAGATGGAAACGTAGCTGACAGAGAACATACCCAGCTTCATTTACTGCAGTTTAAAAAAAATTATTGGTCCCATCAGATGATCACGAGTCAGATTTTTGCTTCTGTCTTAATGAACAAATCTCCCAGAGCCTCATAATCCACCCTTATAGAGACTGTAGAGTATTGCGGTGTTAAGAAGAAACATAAAACAAATACCACATGTAGACGGTGTTGCTTTAAGGCCAACACTCCTCAAGAGAAGACAAATTACTGCTTTTACTTGATGCAACAAGAACAAAGTTCTTGTTGGCCACAACGTTTCATTCTTCACAAGAGCCAATGTGCTGAGGTCCCAGGAAGTTCTCATAAGTGTCTCCGATTGCACTACACCCTCCTCATATTTATCAGACATCAAGTGAGAAAAATATTCTGCCCATAATATGTGTCAAGAACAGACTGTCCAGAACCAGGGTGGCAAGAACAGAATGAAGTCATTTAGCGTTTGGAGCCCTGAGTGAGAGCACGTCTCCGTTGTGGTTTCTGAATTAACCTTTACAAAGACATGGTGACAAATTCACTATTTGATGTTCCCACTTCGAATCAAGAGTTCCTGCTTAAAGCCTGCAGTCAAGGAGTTGAGAAACATTCTGGCTTTTTTATTACTTCTTCTACCAACTGCGCACTGTGAATGCAGAGAAATCAGTGATATGATAAAACAGATATTTCAGGGTGTGAGAAGAAGGCATGTATTTTGATTATCTGTTTGCAGCTGTAAAGCTCGGTAAGTCAGAGAGTAAGAAAATAATGAGATAAAAATACGAGCATGACCTTAAAACTCCCACTACGTTGTGAGTCATGGCTGCCTGTGGTTTTGTTTTTTCTTCCCTTTAGAAAATATAAAAGAGAATCTGACTTCTTGGTAAACTTTATATCTGTCAGGATGTAGATAGACTGCAGCTTGGGGTTACACGGCACACACAGCTGTGCATAAAACATTACATTACAAGATATATTGTAACACTTTTAGAAGATCAAGTTTTATTTGCGATATAGAATAGCTGTGCTGTTGAAAAATGTAAGCGGAAACTTTCTTTTAATTATTTCTTTTGGTTATGTCTCGATGCACATCCGGTTTCCATGCCCTATTTTTGCTTTGTGGTGTTGGCATTTAGTGCTCAGCATATATATATATATATATAAAAAAAAGAAGTCCCTTAAGCATTTTAAAAGCTTACTCTGAATGCATAAATAAATTCAAGAATCCATGGAGCTTCATTTCATGACAAAATTCCTGCAGCTCTGTGGAGAGCGTGTCAAAGAGACGGCAGCCGGACATAAAAGGTCTCATTTCAAAAATGGCCACACATTAAGTATATTTATTGATATCTGCTTTAGAAAAATCAGTCATTCTTTCATTTTAGTGACCTATTCATGGCGTTTCAGACTGCAGACTGCTGAGGGCGATTCATGGAGCAGTGAGAGGCGTCTCAGCTCTAAATCTCGTGTGAGACATACGTGCACGCGTGTGTGTGTGTGTGTGTGTGTGTTGAAAAGCCTCAGGGTGTGTATGGCTGCACGGATGTGATTGATGAACATGTGACAAGGACCTCAGTGTTTGTGTCTTCAAGAGTTTCTCGTTGCATTCTTCTGCCCTGTTTAGAAGTGGGTGGGATGGCTGGTCGGCTGCATCTCTAGTTTCTTAAAGTAAAGCTGAAACGTGACATATCAGATTGTAAAATACTTTGTAATCTGCCTAGAAATTAGTATAAATTTACAGGTGGATAGAGAGAACATCTCAAATGTTTAAGGCATCCCTATTTTTTTTTCAAAACTTTCTTTCAAGAAGAAAGACGTTCTGTTATTTATTGTTTTTCTAAGTCAGGATTCCCACACAGCGCGGAAAAGATTATTCAAATATTTTCCGGGAAGGGACGATGCCACAATGATGGCAGTGTCACGGTTTGGTTTCGTCTAATCCGGTTTGTGCCCAGACACAGTTTTGCCCTGCATGTCATTTTTGTCTATTAATTTATATTCCGACATCAAAACTTCCTTTATGTTTTTGAAGATTCTGTGTTTAATTAAAAGATAAATTTTCAATTGATGGAATCAGACTTTTTAAAACTTTTCCAGAACTTTTCATTTGACATTAATTGTATTTTTCTTTCATTTTCAGTTCAGCTTTTGTGTCTGCTCATGAAAGGTGAGAGTGCGGTGAATGTGGAAATCATAAAAATAAAAGAGGCCAAGTGGGAGTCAAAACAGGTGTCAAGCGGATCAAAAGCGTCTAAAAAACGTACATCTCTAATAAAAAAAAAGAGGAATCTGGTGTCATCCTGTTCATTTTAGCCTTGTCAGCCAGTCTTCTTCACGCTTTCCAATCCTCTCAAGTGACTTTTATTTACATCCATGTAAACCACAAACTGACGGAGCCACTGGTTTCCCATGCTCCCCCTCTCTGGTGTCCCGCAGTCCGGCTGCTGTTTCTGCTGCCAGTAGGGCCGGCGTGCTGTAAGTGTGCTCTGTCGTGTAACCAAACAAGCCTGAGAGGCTGTTGTTACTGTCAGACGTGACATGGGTGAAAAACACGCCACGCCACGCCACGCCACGCCGTTGCTTTGCCAAATCAGCGTACGAGAGCGTTTGTTCTGCCTTCAAACACAGAAATCAGGACACCAAACACAAAGATTTTATCTGTAACTCGATGTAATGCACAGCTCATTATTTTTAAGATGATTATAATCACGATCCCATGTGCTGTCCGGCTTCGTGTTTGTGCTCCAGCTGCACAGTCACTTGACAAGATAATGAGTGGATAATTGAAATTAAATCTCGGTTCATGACCCATTACTCCCATGCAAATAAAAACCCCTTGAACACAACATTTATTACGGTAGAGCTTCAGCTTTTTTTTTTGTAAAAAAAAAAAAAAGAATTTATTTCATGAAAAAGGGTTTTCAGCAAGGAAATACTTGCTATGTAAATATTAATGTAGCTTCTTAGAAAAACTAACCTTGTGTCAGGCGAAACTGATTACATAAAGACGCCGCAATGCAAACAGAACAGCGTGCTCCCTCTTTGGTATAAACGCTCATGCCTGCTCCCTGCAGAACAGGGACAAGAAAGTCTGCTTTTCATTCACTGAACGTTTTTTTGTTTGGAAACTCGTGAATGAGACGCAGCAGACCTGGAAGTTTGTCATGCGCTCTCTTGTAATAACGTGTTTATGGCCTGAATCTGGTCGGATCAGCACATGCTGATTTGGACTTAATGTTTTTTGCACTTTCCAAACATTCAAGCTTTCAATCTGTAAAAAAATGTTTGAGCTGAAAAGCGTTTTTAACCACAGACATTTTACTGACATTGTAGCTGAAAATGTTACCTAACTGGAAGATCAGGAATATTTATTTTCATGTGACTGACCACTATGAGCTCTTTCACACAAAGGGTAAAACACATATTGGCTCAGAAGTAAGTTGAGATCCAAAGTATTTATCACTTTTTTGTTCCAGGAGCTATTTTTGGTTAAATGTTATTCCCCCACTGCCTGAAGAACCGTTACAAATCTGAAATGAATCCGCTCGTGCTCTGGTGATGCTTCAGAGGACAAGGAAGTGAGCAGAACAACACCTAACCTCACCAACAGAAAACCTGCACATCTAGGTTTTCTAATGCAGTCAGTGTTGAAAATAAACTCTATAAATCAGGCACAAGATAGTCGTCAAGACCAGCCGCAGTCTGTTAGACTTTTTAAATTACGTTACTGCCGGTAAGATATTGTAACCACTTACCTTGGTGTCTGTAGCTCCCCTAAAAAGTAGGAAATTTACTATCATTTGAGGTTATTATATGGGTTAATGCTTAACTGTTATTAAACTATTTAACTATCTATCCCTAAAGCTGAGGCTGGGGAAATAATTGATGTTCTAAACTGAAATTAGGGCAGAGAGAGAGAGATTCATTCATACTGTTCTGGTCGTTTCATCCTGTTGCAACTCGGGAAACAAGCTGAGATCCAAGGAAGTAGTGAGTCTGATAAAAATCCTAAACTGGAAAAAATAGTAGACTGGATTAATATTAAGATTTGGAACAATTAATAATAATCCAAAAAAATAGTGAAAATGGGATGAATGGTGAATTTAGAGAAATTACTACGCAAGAAAAATAATAGTAGTCCAAAAAAGTAGTTAGTTAAATATGATGATGAAACCAATCTGGGGGAAAAAAGTTAATTGGAAGAAGTAGTAAAATTAGATTAAATTTAAAAAAGATACTATGGGAAGAAATTGGAAGTGGAAGGGGGAAATTGTTTATTAATATTGTGTTGTAAGTATTTGTTCAATAAAAAGACCTTTAAAAATTAAATTTTATCAGAGTGATACCATATTTAAAAATTTAGAGGCTCCGCCTTTTCAGGAAGAAGGATTGTTCTTCTTTTGATACTGAATCTTCAGTTTGGCTCTAAATCCTGCAGTGGTTCTGGCACAAGCTCTGCTGAACTGAAGCTTCTGCAGGGAAACAAACTTTCATTTTTCTTCAGCATTCGATTAATTGGGACTGTTTTAGTGGAACCTGAGCGCCTTTCCCTCTCTTTGGTCCTTAAATGCATATTATTCCTGGACTCCATCAATCATAACACTGACCTTTTCCCCTGCATGAGGCGACGTGGCTGCGTACTGCAACCGCAACTTTAGCTTTTTCCATTTTAACCATTTTCTGTCATCTGTAATTACTTGCTTTAGTGTGAAACGGTTGATAGACACGACAGGAATATGATACGACAGAGGCTGCATGTTCTGGGTTTGACGTCCCTCCTTACTGTAATTAAATCTTGGTAGTTTTCAAACCTTTGTTCATTTCAGCCTCTCTCTAGTGGCAGGAAACAATAACACAAACTTGCCTGTCAAACATATTGGATAAAATCAAAGGAATCCAAAAAGCAAGATCTTAAAGAGGTTTTTTTTTTTTTTTTTTTTTTGCTGGCTGCTATGATTACTCAGCCTTCATGGGGAGCTGAGCCCTCAGTGCAGTGCTTTCTAAATCAATTAGAGCTCTGGACAGTAATCTGCCGCGAATGGCAGCTAATGTGCCGAAGGTGAGCGTCCTCTTCTCTCTCTCACTGATAGCCATCTGTGGTCTGGGCTCAGCGCCAGCGCGGAGCAGAGCGAACGGCAGGATGACGGCCGACTGTTACTGAAACCATCACAGGGACAAAGTCCAAACAGATCCCATCCTTTGAGCTGCACACGCCTCATCTCATCAGTCTGCCTGTCAGAGAGATGATGACTGCTGCTGCGTCTGGAAAACACTCACAGGCGACTTTCTTGTTTTTTATTACAGTCGTAGACGAAGGTTTTGGCACGGACATAAACGTGTTTTCAGCTTCAGTTCACTAAATATTTACATTATTACACAGATGCATGTCAACTCTTGTGACTTATTTAGAAAATGTGACTTTACAACAAATCAATATTAGTGTTTCCTCTTGTCATAAGGACATAAAAACCTGTGACAGAATGAGCTCAGTTCACCCTGTTAAAGAGTGGCTGCTTATAAAAGAGGGGCTGAAGTCTTTGTATTCTTCTGAGCACCTGTCATCAAAATGGCCTCACATGTTCAAGGAGAATGTTAATTTTGCACGTCTTGATTTTACATTGTTCTTTTGAAGCAACTTAATGGATGACCAATCCCACGTCAAAACGTCCAGTATGCGTACAGCCTGCTGTAGCCTGGGATGCAAGATCAAAGATGAAAACTCAAGTTTTAGTGAATGTCTGAAGTTGCTGAGTAAAAAATGTCTTGCTGTCACAACCAGAACCAGAATTTGTCTTCTTCTTCTTCTTCTCCTCTTAATTGTCTCCCATGTTTATTGAAATAAAACTGTCTTGGGGTTAAACGCTACACCTGAGTGAGTTTCTGGACACTGATAGGACTGATATAAAGGTAGAAAATATGTGATAAAATAAAGTTAATAATAGCCTCCTGACCAATTGTAGCATGCAAAGGAGAACATGTTAAAATGACGGATTAGGAAAAAGTCCAAACAGGTCTGCCTAACTTCAGGATTGTCTCATCCTGAGACATGCGAAACAGAATCATGTTTCCACCATTGCAGAGCTTCCTCCACACTGGCAGCAGGTGGATGTGAGCGCATTTACAAGAATATTGAGGCCATGTCCTTTGTAAAATATCTTTGATGATAATCCCAGAAAATAGTTAAACTGGGATGAATGGTGACTCTAGAGAAATCACTAAGTAAACGACTTCAGTCCAAGAAGAACATCAGACAGAGGATTCATTTCTCTAATGAATCCTCCATCCTTATAATTCAGGGCCTCCTCCCATCGAGAGGAAAAATAAATGCTGCAGTGGAGAAAACATTGCATCATAAGAGAACTTCTTCTCCTGGAGGTGGAGCGCCATGTCACAAGGCAAAAGCCATGATGAAGTGGTTAAAAGATACCAACATAGCTTTGATATTTAAAACGATTGTGATCAACAGGAATAGGTCAGCATCACTCGGTGTGAGGCTCCAGAAGCCTTTCAGACATCTGGCATGGAGAATGCTTTAAGAACAGTATTTGAAAAGTAATGCAGTTGTGTTTAGTATAAAATAAAAACATAAAATAAATCAGACAGAACATTTCCTCTCCATGCAGGAGGTGAAGAAAAGCTTCGTTATCTGTGACAGAAACTGATTATATTGTCAAGACCGGACAAGTTCTGTTAGAAATGACTTCCTCTTGGGGTTATCTTATCTTCTGTAGGAAGTGTGCTCACTGCAGGCTCTGACACGCCTCTCCCTTAAGACAAAACTAATTTTGTAGAGTTTAATTTTTTTTTTCTTTCATTAACTTGTAGGAAGATATTAGGGTTTTGCAGAATCCCTCTGACTTCTTGATTTTCTTCTAAGCTTATTGCTCGTGTCTTGCATCCTTTTCTCCCTCAGCCCATTACTACCAGATGCAACATTCGCTTGTTTCCAAACCATTTTCCGTGACGTCCATGTTTTCAGCGAACACCAAACTATTTTGGATAACTTTTCACAAACATTTAGATAAAGTAAAAAAAAATAAATAAAAAAAGCAAGATGTTTTCCTGTCAAGTCTAAGTTTTAACTTTTATACTAAAATTTTGAAATGCCTTCATGTTCCATAGGGAGTAACTTCATTATTGTGTTTTTGGAGCATGCCTTTGGCTTTAAAAGATGACATGGTCTTCCTGCAGGGAAAATGTTGATTTAGTATATGTACTTTATTTATTTATTTTTATTTTTTTACATTTAAATCTAATACTGGGCATTAGTGAGAAAGTACAGGATGGCCAGTCTCCAAATGAATTTGTTCAGGAGACACTAAACTGACTAAACTGGATGGGGGCCTCATATGAAGGGTGTTCTGTGAAATTTGAACTGGAGCTTTTGTGTCGGCCAAACCATCTGTTGCAAGAATCTGAGGATAAATAGGAAAATTAACCGACTTTCTGATGGAGTCTCTACCCCGTAAACAATAAGCTTTCCACAAATGAGCGCCTAATTTTAACCAGCACCTTCTGATCACAAACTGAATGGCTGACAGGTTAAACAACGTCATTAAAGTTGCTCATTATCGCTGTGTGTGTGTGAGTGTGTTAATTGCTGTGTTTGCATTACGAATGTGCGCAATATATTTGGCTGATGTAAAAAAAAACAAAAAAAACACAAATTTGCAGTTTCCATTAAGCAAATTTATTTTTGTAATTTCAATTACAAAAATTTCATGGTTAATTGAAACGCAGCTTATGAGAACAGGAGACGGAGAAAGAGAGAGAAACATTATTTTCTTAAACTTTTCCATCTACATCTTTTGTCAGCATCTAGCATGTTAGTTTTCAAATTCTTTGAGAAAGATAATAGAAAAAGTTTACCGTACTGTTTGTGACTGTTTAATATCTCCTTCCCTGTCTAAAGGGATCTGCCTAAATAAACAGCTCTGATGCTGCTGTGGAAAATAAATTTCCATTTTAGGGCAACAGATGTCAGAGGAAAATGAGGATCCCCACCGGTGCCTTCTATTTACAAAGTTCCCTACTCAAACACATCAATAGTACTTAAAAATCTGTGGAAACCAGAAATCCAGCAACCTACTTCATGTCAGGAGACTTCTGCTAGACATGCTGAAAGTGATGCTCTCTCTCTCTTGCGGTCTTGCAACCTGAATGATGCATCTCGACATACGTTTTTAAAAACACCTCACTGGCTCAGAAAACAGCCAGTGCATCCAACCAGTGGATGCACTTATTGTGCATCCACTGGTTGGATAAAAGGTTGGACTTCTATTTTTTTTAACCATCTCAGGTCGATTTCCAACTATTGATCATGTGAGAAATACGGCAGACAGATGACGAAAATAGAGAGTAGTTTTGCCTCCGCATTCAATAAGAGTCCAGTCAAAGTAAATCATTACGTTTGTTGTTAACTGAGGAGGCTGCTGCCAAAAAAAAGAGGATGCTCAGCTCTTTCTCTGTCGCATTGATTAAGACTATTAATCAATGTGTGCTAATAGCTGTGGTACCTCAGACATGAACGCTAGACAAATTTAACAATGAAATGGGACGTTGCTGTCAGAGTGTTTAAAGATCAGGATTTTTCTTGTAGGGGCTGCAGTTCCTCCTAGGTGGTGGTGGTGGTGGTGGTGGGGGAGGTTTGGGGTCCGGCAAGTTGGTCAAGAGCGCTGCTCTTCCATCGTTAATGGCCAGGAAATGTCTATGTCTTAGAAACTAATTGGATTTTCTTACCAGGAAAGCATCTATACGGCTCCATTAGCCAGGAGTAAACAGCGACATGCAGCTGAGTGAGAGACAGGTGGGCTAATGCAGAAAGATGCAGGGATCCATGCTGGCTTGTTTTTGCAGCAGAAATTAGAGGATTGGTTCACAAACAAAATAAATGTGCTTTATATTTTCATGCATTTACAGAAAAAACATACAATATTATGGAAAAAATCTTTAAAGATCAACATACACGCACTTTCTTTCAATAAGGAAAATGAGCCTTCTGTTTTATTTTTACCTTTAAAAGCATTTGAAATGGATTGATCTCTACTTTTAAAGAAATAATTAATTTTAACTAACTAAAATAGCACATTTAAGCATATGGTTAACAAAAGTCAGCCAGAAAGGCAGCAAAAGCTAAAAGCCGAGTTCTGGCTGTGAAGTGGCGTTTTCCCACAGAGCTCTGTTCAACTTGCAGCAGCAATTTATAGCAACAAACCTCTTAAGGTCACTGGGCTTCTTCTCTGCCCTGAACTCCTTTGCATTTACTCAAACAATGTGGCTCCAAGTGTAACTGAGGGTCTCCACAGACTAAAAGGATGGTCAATTCAGGGGAAACAAAAGCGGGGGGGGGGGGGGAGGGAACCTTGGTTCCTCACAGACAGATCATGAAGGAACAGTGGTGCTACTATGCAGCCTGTAAATCAGGCCTTTCTTCCTGTGTGAGGGTGCCATGTTAGAATGCGGTGCATTTATGTGCACATGGGTGGGCTTCTCATTCCTATCATAGCATCCCTCTCTTCTTCTTTTGCCCATCAGGACTTTCCTCCTTTTTACTGATTTACATTTCTTATGATAATCCTGGGCAGTTTTAACACTTTAGTTCACAGAGCTGAACAATTTCCTCGTCACCCTTGCATATCTGAAGTAAAAAGCTGTTTACATAATAATAGTCTCATTATTATGTAAACTGTATCCGATGTATTGCAAATAATTCAAACAACTAGAACCTTTCCATATTTGGTCACATTACAACAAAGCAGACTGCATTTTATTGGGATTTAGCAAAACTGAACTTTGTGGCTTTCATATTAAAACATTGTGTTTGGCAGAGAACTAGCCCTGTACATCCACCCTGAACACAACAACCCCACTGTGAAGCATGGAGGTGGCATCATGTAAAGATGTTAGGAGACTTTTGATCAGCGGGGTTCAGGGAGTTTATGAGACGATTGGGGGAGAGCTGAATGCAGAGCATTCCTGGAAGAAAAGTCATTAAAAGCTGTGAAGGTTTGGGGTAGAGGTTTGCATTTCAGCAAGTCAAAACAGACATGAGAAGCAGAATGCTTTAGATCAAAGTACTTATGTGTTAGATTGGACCAGTCAAAGCACAGACCTGAATTTATGTGAGAATCTGGAAATAGATACAGGCAAATACTTTAAATGCAATCTGAGTGAATTTGAGTTATTAGTTTTGCAAAGTAGAATTTGTAAAAACCACACCTGAAAACACATTGAGCTGCAAATATATCAAAAGATTGTTTTCCAAAGTATTTATGAAAGAGAGTCAAATGCAGCACATACCTCATCTTTGACTATTCAAATTCTAATAAGTACATGAACCCTTTTAACTCATACTTTTGCACTACTTTGAGTTGGCCTGTAATATGAAAACATAATAAAATATCTAGACTTTTGAGTGTAAAAGGAATTTTGCAAAATACTGCAGCTCAAGATGTTTTGTTTCTTTTTTTTAATACATATATTCTGAGAATTGCTGTCACAATGGCTCATTAAAAATATTTTCTGAAGAAAATGAACACATGATGAAAACAATCAAACACATATCAGCCTGACCAGGATGATTTTGAACGCCAAGTAAATCCCATCAAAACACCAAACTGGGGCCTATTTGCGTTGTTTCAGATTTTTAAGTACCAGTTTGACCAATGTTGACTTGTGGTGGACTTCTATAAAAACTGCAGTGGTGATCATTTAAAAGAGAAACTTCAACAACGTGTTTACCTTTTGTTGTTTTGGAATCCAAAACTTGGTTCAATGTAAACCAAGTTTTGGAAAGCAGACATAGAAACATCTTCATCTCCCTCCTCCAGCCAGGGCCGCTGTGGAGGTGAACATGGAGGACAAAGTGGAAGCTTTTTTGGGAGACGCAGCTCAGATCACCTGCATGTTCAAATCGGACGACTTTGGTGGCAGCGGCGGCATGACCGTGGAGTGGTACTATGTGAGTGTCATCAAATCTTTTTCTCTAGACACCCAGAGAGCAAAACCAGCTGTCCTAACATGCACACTGATGTGTGTGAACCTCCAGGTAAAGAATTCAAAAGACTATCAACAAATCTACAGCCAAGACAGCCTTCAAAGCACCGTGGTGAAAAACACTCCTTACTCTGAACGGATCACGGTGAATACCACCGGAAACCCTGGAGAGGTGGTGCTGACGATCAGGCATGTGCAGCTCAGTGACAATGAGGTGGCGTTCAACTGCTACGTCAAGATCATTGGGGAAGGGACCGGAGAGGGAAGCACAAAGCTGAAAGTGTTTAGTAAGATTTACTGCACAAGAGATTAAAAACAGCTAGAGATGAAATTACATTAAGCAGTCAGTTATTGCCTGTCTTCCTTCTCTTTATATTGTCATTTTTTTCTTTTCAGAAACGCCAGAGGATCCCATAATTCAAGGTGTGGGACAAGGGATATCAGTCAACGATGAAATGACAAAGGTAACCAGGTGTTTGATCACAGAGATGAACCATTTGAAAATAATAAACTATCATGACACCACCCTCATGTTTGGACTCCTACATTACATAGATTGCCTCTTGCGAGGTGAAAAATGGATACCCCAAACCGAAGATCACCTGGTACAGAGACAAAATGCCACTGCACAACATTCCAGATGGTGAGACACACTTCCATCAAAGTCTGTATTTAGTTGCACAGTTTTCATTTCTGATCATGTGGTAAAAACATAGCACTGTATTAGAGGCGTTATTATCCAAGATTTCAGTTTCAAGATGTTTAGCTATGTAAAGATGCACAAAATTATGCAAGTTAGTGAACTACACCTCGACCTTATTACAAAGAAGTAATTTAAACAGATCCTGTCCATCAAAAGGTAAAACACCTCAAAAAGTAATAAATCGTGCCACGAGTTGAACAAATTCAAGAAGAGATGAGGATCAAAGTCATCGATCTCTTAGACAGGAAATAGTTTCAAAGCTAATACAGAGACTGTGGGACTCCAGCGAAAAAGCTATAATCCACAAATGGAGAAACCACGAAACAGTGGTGAACCTTTACAGGAATGGCCTGCCTGCCACATTCCCTTCAAGAATGCCTTGACAACTCATCTAGACGGTCACATCAGAACCCCAAACAACATCCACAGCACAACAAATCTACTTAGCTCACTTCAATCAGTGATTCAGCAAAAATAAACAGAAAAGGCCTGAACCACTACTTATGTAAAAAGCAAAAAAACATCCGTCTCACATTTGCCAAAGAACCCACTGTTATTCCCAGAGGACAGCTGAAACGGAGTCGTCTCATTTATAAAACTGGCGTACACATGAAACGGGGGCTGAAACTGGCGAATGTCAAACAGTATTTTGCTTTTTAATGAATTTATCTTTCTCTACCTTTTTACATCTCCTGTGTTTGCAAATGTTTTTTTCGCCTTCCAGTTGTGAAAGTGGATCACAGAGTCACCACTCAGTCAAGTGGTTTGTTTTCGGTCAACAGTGACCTGAACATGAAGGTGGAGAAGAAGGACAAAGATGCAGTTTTCTACTGCGAGGTCTCATTCCTTGTTCCTGGAGCTGAGAAAATGCTTGAAACTAATGGCATTAACATCACTGTCTTATGTGAGTAACCCAGACTTCAAAATGAGAGTTTTCTGGACATTTTGGGTGAATTTCAAGCGATGTGGAACTAATCTGTTTTAGAGATCCTATACCAAATCAGTAGTTACATATCATAGAAACACATTCCAGTTATAAGATGTTCTTGAGGTACCTGTGATTTAGCTTTGTCCATGTATGTATGTAATGTATTATGATGTAATCTGAGAGTAGAAAAGAATCCACAGTACTAAAATGTTATAAAAATGTCAATTAGTTTTCTGTAGTAATAATATATTAACTTAATAACTTTGAGACTTATATTATGAGAAGCAGTATAATTTTTCCCCATGGCGTAACATTTTTTAATCCTTCTGATTGCTAAAAATTCCCAATTAAAGTCTGACCTTGCCTTCTTTGTTTCAGATCCTCCCACGACAGTAAATATGTTGGTTAAACCCTCAGAGGGGAAAATCAGGGAGGGCGACACGGTGGAGATCCTCTGCGCCAGTGATGGAAATAGTGAATCTCAATTTTTCACAATTGACAATAAAGACGTAAGAAATTTGACTGTCACAATAACTCTTGTCTACATACATTAAGCAGGCATCAAAAGTTAATTCATTTCAGTAATTCAAATCTAATATGGATATTTCATTTGATTATGTTGTATTATATTTAAATGTAAATGTTTTTGCTTAAATAAAGAAATGTTATGGCCTACACAGTAGCTGATCATACAGCTGTCCATCAGTCTTTCACTGACACCCTCTGAAATGAGAGGATGTCACAAAAGGTCATTGCTAAACAAGCTGGGGTTTCGCTTGGGGCTGCATCTAAGAGTATTAGTGGAAAGTTGAGGGGAAGGAAAAAATGTGCTAAAAATGGTACACCTGAGGAAATTTCATTTATTTTAATTTCTGTCCATTTTCTAACTATCTTTGTTCCTAAAACGTGAAAAACAACTTGTATGTGATTACATTGTGTTATTTGGTTTTGAAGGTTTCAAGATTGAAGTTGGAGAACGTTACTCGTCACGATACTCGTTTTTACGAATGCAGCGTAGAGGACTTTGAAAATTCTGTGAAATTATCAACAAACATCTCGGTGGAAGTCAACTGTAAGGACTTTCAATTTTACCTGCATTAATGAGAACAACAAATGTGATTTATTAAGTACTAAGTACTTCATCTGTTGCATAGATCTGGACGAGGTGGTCATTGAACCCACCGGTTCTGTTTTGGTGGACTGGAAAAAAGAGTTTTCGGCGACCTGCAATGCTTCATCATCTCTCGGGATCAAGACAACATGGTTTAAGGTAACAGTGCAATGTAGTTTCACACACAGTAACAAAACAATTGTATACATGTATGAGATAATGTCGCACCACCACAAGCTTACTGACACTGACTGTTTTTTACTTAGAAAAAGCAGTGTTCTGATGGATTAAGAACCACTAATGTATGCTTTGCTTTCTATGCTAATGGCAGCAAGTAAGTTTGATGTGTTTTTTCTGCAGAATGGAAAAGAAGTTGTAAAGGGTTACCATTTAAGCCTAAAGGCTGTAACGTATGACACCGCAGGAATATATGATTGTGTAGTGACAGTACCGGAGATTCAGGGAATGCAAGCCAACAGTTCACTACAGGTTACAGTTCAGGGTGAGTTGGACAACAAAACAGCTTATTTGGAACTATTTTCTAAGGATGAATTATCAAATGTGTTTGCTTCATGTCTTTATTTCCTCAGGCCCTCCAGAGATTATAGAAAAACAACTCAATGAGGAAGAGACCAATGAGAGGGAACTTGAACTTACCTGCCAAGTCAGAAGCTACCCTACTCCCAATATAACCTGGGGCACCACTAATGGGAAGGTACTACTGAGGAATGTCTTTCAGTTTTAGCTTTAAGGCCAATATACGCAAAAACGATTCAGTTATCAGACCTAACTCATGAATATGTGACGAGGTCAATTATGACAAAAATCAAACTCATAAAATGTCTCATAAATCCAAACTGGTCAGGTGAAAGTAATGGCATGGATTATTTCCTGAGTCTTTAAAGGGAAATCACTGGTTCTGGGATTTGTTCTTTTGACAAATAACTCTTCTACATGATATTCGTCAAGTTATTATGCAGGAAGATGCCTTTTCCACAGAAGGCTGTCATCAAAATTTATCCCAGTAGGGCATGGACTGGAAACCATTATCAGGGTATACCAAAATTCCTAAAATGTTTGTTTCAAATAATAAAAAAAGTACAATCAGCTCCTACTATTTAACGTTCTTTGAATCAGGAGTTTATACACTAAGATGCATTTCAGAAATGTTCAGGTGATTATGTCACAGGTTTGTAAACTTTTGTTTAGGGCTGTTGTAAAAGAATATTATAGTAATTGAGTACTCTATCGATTGTTGTTATGATTAAAAGAGTAACCAGAAACTAGAAAATTTCTGAAGAAATTTAAAAGGGGCCTGCCAAAGTGTGAATGTCGGTTGGAACCCAGCGTTCTGATGCTAAAAATTAGCATCAATGCTTTGCTAAAATAATACTAATAGCATGTGGAGAATCACAAGAATATTGACTAACATGGACATAGTACATTCAGTATGTTAAAACTAGTGTAAAAGCTAAAATTAGCCAGATGCTAATGTCAGCCTAAATGCTGCCAGTGTTATGCGGGGCATAACTAGCATATTGTCTTACATTGACTTCCTCTATTCAGCATACTAAATATGACTAATAAATAAAAAAATTGTTCAAATGCTTATTGCACTGCCTTGCACTAGTAGGTGCACTGCCTTAACCTGAGAGAAAAAAAAAGCTAAAATGCCTATTTTAGAAAAAGCTGATGTAAATGCACCGCCTTGCGAAGGCAGTGCTCTGACCTGTGAGAAAGAAATACCTAATACTTATTTTATGGAAAGGGCTAATATTAGTGCATTACTTAAGGTGGCACACTAGTGTGTGTGTGGGGGGTGCACTGCTAATTTTTGTGCCAATGTTAATGCACTGCCTTGCTCTAACTTGAGAGAAATAAAAGCTAAAATGCTTATTTTATGGAAGGAACTAATAGCTCAGGTAGGGTTAAGGCGGTGCACAAACCTGAGACAAAATTCTATGTTTATTTTGAGACTGACACAAAACAGAATTTGCTTTGAGTTGAATTTGGCATGTTTTTCAGTAATTATGACGCCACGGTTACTTGAAATGCCAACAAAAGTAATAGCTCCCCTCACTTGATATTGGTGGGACAAGTACCAACTTTTCATGCTTTTTCAAAACAACCTTTGACCCAAATCTGACCCTTTTCCTTTGTAACCACACTGTTCTGTCACTGTTCTGTGTGTTTGTGGCAGATCATCAGCTCCTCAAATCACATGACCGATGTGGGTGCTAAGAGCGTAGCCAAAGTTCAAGTCAATATCACTTCGAACACAACCGTTTTCTGCAACGCCTCAAATGAGTTCGGCAAAGACTCGGCTACGTACGTCATCAAATTCAGTGAGTACCTGCTTCATTCCTGTTGTCCACTCTGTTGTTGTGTCTGAGTGCCCCTTCCTTCCCCATCTGTCTTTCCCCTTCTTGTCTGTGTCAAGGTTTGTTTTTTATTCTTCGTCTGAAGGTCTCTGTGATGTGTTGTAAAGTGTTGCCTGTAACTTGGAGCACTTCACCGTGTGTTCTCTTTGCAAAAGAGGCAACGTCGTGAAGCTGCTCGGCTGTTGACGTGAACCCCTCCGTTCCCCCTAATGCTGTAACGTGAAGTGTGTTCCCGTCTTTACCCCTTACCCCCTTTCAGCTAAACACACCACCACACCAGCAACTACCACCACAACAATCTCTCCAACAACCATTACAGCAGCCAACACAACCAACAATACAAGCACATCCATCATTGCTGCCAAACCCAAATCCAAAGGTAAGATCAGTTGCTTTGCGCCTCTTTAGCCTGATCAAGGTAAACTAAAGGTTGCCGTAATCATCACTGATTTATTACTCTTTCACCAAGTTACTATGTTTAATATAAATTATTTGTTTCTTATTAATAACCTTACATATTCTTTAAATTATTATTTACTGATCAATTAATGATTAATTGAAATCAGTCCACCTTCATTGATTCTGACATTGGCCTTTCCAATACATCAACCTTGTATTTCACTAAAAGTTTCAGCTTAAAAAAAAAATCACCGAAACAATATAATCAGCACGCTGTACGCTTTCAGATATAATCCCCCCCAAAAAAATCCTGATTGAGATTTTTTTTTCATAATCAAGCAGATCAAATACTGAGAAATCTATTGTTTTTCTTGTTTTACTGTAGCATGACAGAAAATTCTCACTTTTTGGCCTCAGATAAAAAGACATAGCTTGATACATAAATGTTGATAATCTGTCATTTTTGGTTGAATTACAATCACAACCAGTAACATCAGGCTGATGTATTTTTAATTATATTGTTCACCGATTATCCTAAGATGAAATTTATAACCTGAGAAAATCATAATGTGGTTGAAAAGGGGGGATCTGCAAAACAGAAGGATATTAGAAACAGTCAGAACAGCATCGCTGTTGGACAGAAATATAAACATAACTGGAGAAGTGATGCTCTGAATCCACTCACAGTGAGCCTTCTTCACTGCTCTTTCTTTTCTTTTTCCTTCAACATATACCCTGCCAGGAAACTTTCCATCCCCTCAGAGGAAAGCTTTTCTGGATTTTTGTTTCCCTCTTGTGAAATGAGATTAAAGAGGGCTACTGTGGGAAATGACTCAGGTCACTGACCAAGATTCATGCTAGATTTTTTTTATTTTTTATCTTTGGTGAGATAAAAGCCTTTTGAATTAAGTAAATTAGTCTGACTTTTTCATACTGAATGCCTGGAATGCCTGTTTGTGTGTCTGGGTGTATTAGCCCTGCTGATTCAGTTATTTAACACACAAACCCTCTGATAACTCTGCTCATTTGGTTTTTCTCAGCCAAAGCAGAAACACCCAAACCACAAGAGAAAGCCCAAAAAGGTTTGTATGTCATGTTGCTGCAGATCGTCTCCAAAAATCAAAAAGCATCCTTTAGCTTATCCACCGTATCAGTTTTCTGGCTCTCTTCCAGCAGATCTTCCTTTCCTATTGAGCACAACATTGTTGTCCATTACCTCCACTTGTCCCTCTGCATGCTTGATGCTTATTCTCCCTTTTGGGAGAGCACCTCTCCTCCTGCAGACTTGAAACTTTCGCACATTTTTTCTTTCTGAGTTGCCAGATTTAGATCACCTGAAAGGCGCCATAGCACTGCTGTATTGTTATTGAATGCCTTTTGTCACAACCTCACCTGCCATCGGACTCTTCCAACTCCGAGCATAATCTCTTTTACAAATCGACTTCCTTTGATTTGTATTTCTGCTTCTTCTTCAACAGGAAGCTATGGGGTTGTCATTGCAGTGATCATTATCTGTATCCTGCTTCTGGCCATCTTGGGCAGCGTGCTTTACTTCCTTTACAAAAAAGGCAAGATCTGCAATCGATCAGGAAAAAAGGACTTGTAAGTTTAATGAAAATGAAATTGACTGTTTTTGTATTTGTTAAGAGAGATAGAGGGATTCTCTAGGTTTTGTTAATTTTTGCTGTTGGGTCTAATGTGAAGAAATAGATTTATATATTTATGTATAGAAAATACTGCTGGAAAAATAAACTTTTCTGTTAAATTTAAATTTACAGGACAGAAGTTCTGTATTCTTATTTGCTAACAACATTTAAATCCAGTTTTTCACACTACTGCAAATATTAGTGTTTTACCAAGTTTGTATTAAAATACATAATTAAAATTCTACAACTTAAGTGGAAACATTTAACTAAAGAAAGTCTGATTCTCCTAAAAGTTTTTACAGACAAGATGCCACCATCAAACATAGCTCCAATTTCACCAATTCCACACACATAATCCCAATAGACGCACACTATTCATTCGAGAAAATACCAAAAGTAGCACACAAACTTTAAAGACGTGATGAGTTTATAGGGAAAGACAGAAAAGAAGCAGCTGATTGTGGGTTTTCCATCACACCCTTTTTGTTTGGTCTCAATGCATAAACTACAAACCAAACTGACCCCTGGAAGGGTTCCTTGTCATAATCACAATGCAGATTATAACTCTGGTCACATGGAAAAAAAAAATTCCTTGGGTAAAATATTATATTGGCTCAGTTCGATTTTAATGGCAGACTAATAAATCGTTTGTCCACCAACATTTGGATTATGATTTCCTTTTCTCTTTGCAACTAAAACACAAGTATTTCCTTCTTCAGCCAAGGATATTTAGTCAAGGCATGCAAAATAGATCATTTTCAGCAACAAAAACATCCACATTAGATATCGTTCCACAACCTCTAAATGACTAAAATTGTTATTCAATTCTTAAGTCACTTATTTGAGCCTGTTCTTGTCCAACCCAAGCACTAAAGAAAAGTCCAGCAAAGATAAGATTGTGGTGGAGATGAAGAGCGACAACACAGAGGAGGCGATTCTGCTCGGGGTGAACGGAGAAAAACAGCTATCCAACGACCAGGTAGATCCCCAATCCTGGACCAGACACACTGCTGATCGGATCACATGTTTCTCTAACGCATAGCTGTTTCTCCTTGTGCCTGTTTGTATGTTAATGTTCCTGTTGGTCCTCTGGAGTGATGAGAACCTGCATGTTCCGAAGTGAGGTGGCGAGAAAGCTGCTCCTGGTGTTCCCTCTCAGGCTCAGACCCCCGGATGCCTTCAAGTCTCCACCAAAGCTCCTTCTTTCCGAGTTACATCACAGAGATAATCAGCTGACACTCAAACAGGTTTTTTTTTATTACTTGCTGTCCGATATACTCCTTGAGTTGAAATGAAACAATTTGCAAGCTCCATGATGTAACTCCACCACACGCCTACCAAGCTTTGACTGTCTGTCTCATTACTGCAAGCCTTGTATACTGCTGATTGTCTGTGGAGCAAGAATTAGAGCACAAAGCCGACAGGGTCTGTTTTAAATACAGAGGTGAACAAATTTATCGCCCGCCCTGAGAAAAGTGTGTAAAAAGCCTTAAAATAATCTACTGTTTTATTCAGGTTATATAATCTCACAATGAAAAGGTGTGAGAAATCCAGTGGTTACTTCAAGGAAATTTATTCAAATAAATAAATAAAATCCAAATATTTGGGAGAATGTCTGTTTTTATTCAGGAAAATTAGTTTCTTCATTTAGTTGTTTAAATTATACCTCCTCCATGTTTGTGTCTGTATTTAGTACTTATCTGAACATGATAAAACACCTTAGGATTTTTTTTAACAAACTGCCCCACATGCCCAATGTTAAATAAAGATGTTTCAGAACTACCAGCAGATTTTAAATAAAAAATTGTCACTGGGTCCTTCAGCAGGATAATGATAGAAAGAACAAAACAACTAAGACGTTGTTCCATGGAGACAGAACCAACCTTCTCGAATGATCTTCTACACGTCAAGTCAAACTGCTGAATATTGAAGATTTCCAATGTAAAATAGTTCTACTGCAAAAATAAAGACGTTTATTTCGAGGCTCTTTGCACATTTTCACCATGGGTGCCATTAAATATGTCCGCGCTGTATGACGTAGCATCACCTCAAGCAGTGCAATCCACTGAAGAGAATAATGATGCAGCTCAGTTACTGTACATATTATAGTCTATGTATATCATAGTGTTTCTATGATTCGGTGCTTCTTGGAGATAAAGCAGGAGCTCGGTTTGGTTGATTGTTTTGCTCATTTTCTGCTATGTTTCGGTCTGCACACTGAAAGTTAAGAGATGCCTCACCTCTTCAGCTACACCTTTTTTATGCTTTACATACAAACATGCAGGTTATTTAAAGACGCATCACTCAGTTTTCTCAACTCCCAGTGCTCTGTAGATGAAGGACAGTATTTTCTGAGGCTGAAGAAGTTGAACTATTGGGTAATGTTTTTCTATTTTATAATTTTGTTTGTTCTCTGTATATTTTTTTTTACATTTGATCAGATTTATTTGTTAGATCTATTGCATTGCCACTAGTCAGGTCATATAATTACATTTTTTTTTCTTAGATATGACATTCAGATGCTTTGAAAAAAACCCATTTCGTGCTGTTGTTTTTTTTTTTTCTATTTATTTTCCATGCACTGATTTTTGTTTTTCCTTTTTTGTGTGTATTCATGCAGTTTTTCTCCAGTATGACATGTTTTTAATGGAACTGTATGCAAATAAACTTAATTTCTATAGCTGTCTTTTTCTTTACGAGAAGGAAATATGAGATTAGAAGAGGTTGTCCTTATCACACACTGAATGCATTTCTGTAATAACTGAAACTTGAGCTAATCTAACCCAAAGAGACACAGAACGCCCTCAGACCTGAAGCCTTCAACCAACAACCGCTTTTCATGTTAATGTTTTGTGTTCATGTTGGTTCCTATAGTATCTGTGTACTACTGAGGAGGGGGGAATGACTGTGACTGAACAACTCCAGCTTAAAGACAATCATGCCATCATAGACTTCCTTCCTTCTGCTTTTAGTAACTCTGGTATACAGTGTTGGTTGTCTTTAAATGTATCTGAGTTATTACGCATCTTGTAATTACCAAAACATTTATTGTTTTTAGTTTTCAAAATCATACCAAATAAAGTTAAATTGTCAAAAATTAAGAGTTCTAACATTAATTTAGCAAATGTTGAAACATGCATTCATGGTTTTCCACTTACTGTGTCTGAGATCGAGCTGCACGAGGGAAACCCAGATATCCGTCTCCAGGGTTACGCTTTCCAGCTCATCCAGGGAGATCCCAAAGAGTTCCAGGTCAGAAGGGTTACACGGTCCCTCCAGTGAGTGCTGGATCTGCCCCAATGGAAAGTGGCCAAGAGAAAGCTTATTTCAGTGCCTGAAATGTTTCAGAAATAAAAACATTATCAAGGTTTCCCTCAGAAAACTTCCTAAGCCTGGTGATTGGATGCTAGGGCAGCCATTCATCCAGCAGCCTGCTGTGTTTTTGAATTAAATAATTTTTCAAGTTAATAGGAAATTTGAAAATATTGCTTGATAATTATGTGTTATTGAAAGACTGGAAGATTAATATCTGAACACCAAATATAAAATCTTAAAAAGTGCAAACAATTTAAAAAGACTTAAATAATTAAGCAATGTTTAGCCTTGGTGGGGGCACAAGTAAAGCCTGGTGGCCCGCCAGGCTTATATTACACTGGGGGAAACCTTGGCATCATTGATTTGTCATACTTAATTCATTTATTCATTTTACCTCTGGCATTTTAGACCCAAATCCAGTTTACAAAATAAAGCATAATTTTCAAAACTGAAATAAAATTCAGCTCTTAGTGAGAGTTTACTGGCATTTAGTTAATTGTAAAATTTACAGATTATACAGGAGAAATGTGATCTCACTATTCAAATGACTTAGTCAGGAGAAGAGTGCAAAAGAAAAATCCTCAATTTGCAGAAGATAGTGCAGTAATCATCAATACTTAGAAACATATAGGACATTACTAACATAACTGATCAAGGACGCTGCTAATTGCCCATGGCAGCAAACGTCTGGGTCCTCATTGTGTCTGGACTGGTCTGAGGCTACCCTACAACACAATGTCTGTAATCTGATTAAATCTTCTTCATAAGAAAAAAAAATAGCTTAAATAGCCATTGATCTTAGAGGACAAACAGCAGCTGAATTCAGCTGAGCAAACAAAATTATATATTCATGGGATATAAAGTCTAAATACAAGATTAAACAATCATGTAAGAAAATGTATTGAATTTTCAGATCTGTATGCTTCACCCTGCTGTCATAATCTGTTTTGCATCTTTGTCTTGCTGCTGTAAGCATGAGCAATTGGTTCTTAGCTGTATCTTTCCCAGCATAAACATCTTCGAAGACTGTCATTTGATCCGCTTAAGGCGGAGGTCAAATCATATCTTGGTTTATAATGTAGTTACCAAATACATTATAAAACAAGAAGCTTAAACATTAAATGCAGCACATGAAACAAAAGTAGCTCTCAAGTAATCAGTTTTGTCTGTAGTTTACCTCTTTATACATTTTGGAGGATTTCTGCTGTTTTGTTATTTTAGGATCACTTTATTAGAGAGATTCTCCTGAAGTTTCTCCCAAACTTCCTGGTCTTGGTTCAGAAAAAAGGACAAGTTCCACTGATCTTTATGTATAAACCCTCCACATATATTTTGTGTCAAATAACTTCATCCACATATTACACTAATACTAAACAATATTCCTAAAATGAGTGGGAGTCAGATCTCGCCCGGAAAAGAATCAAAATTCAGTGTGGACTTCTGCAGCTCTGAACTGTAGGACTTGGGTTTCCAAAAAAATTTTTGTTTTCTCTCTGGGAAAAGGGATTTTCAGGCAAAAAAGTTAAACCATGTATAAAGACAAAAACGTTGGATACAGTTATGCATTATCAAAATGATAGTTTATCCTTTCACTAAACTTCAAAATTAAGATTCTTGAATACAGCACTAAGAAAATATCAAGTTTATATAGCAAAGTAATGAAAACACTTTTTAAAAATCTCATTAACCACTTTATTTTTTTATCCGAGTTCTAAAAGTTGCAAAAAACAATGAGTTGGAATAAAACGCTTAAACGTATTACAACCTGCACAGAGCTCTTACTTTAGCTTGATTTTTTATTATTATTTTGAGGTAAATTTCAGAGGCAATTGAAAACCAGCACTTTTCATCCAACATTAATATCTTACCTTTTTAAAATGCTTCACTCTTTAAAAGTCATGCGTGTCCAAAAGCAAGTCGTAATATCTTTGACAATAGGTAATAAAATGCCTGTTGGTCTAATAAAATATTCAAATGTTATTAGTTTTCATAAATTTTAAGCTAGGGCTGGACGACATCGCTGAAGAACTTACGATATAAACGTTTCAGTCTATATTCACGGTTGCCTGTTAACCATTTTTTCGTTTTGGTAAATATTTGAAATACTGTTATACTAATGACTTAACCTTTCCCGTTTTATCCAGTTTTCACGCCACGCCGCTTAAGCAGTTATGAGGAACTACGGCGAAACCTGAAACTGCAGCTATGCAAGATAGTCAATTGGTTGTTACTAGCAACTGGCTGTTACTAGGCAACAACCAGTTGACTAGCAAAGAGCGAGCGAGTTGATGCTCACTCACTTCCTCTCACGACCTAGCTTAGCCAACTGCTAGTCTTTCCTCTGCCTACATCTCCCAGAATGCTGTGCATTCAAGTGAGATCTAATATTGATCGAGTGTGTGTCATAATACATATATTACTGATTTATCATCCAGCTCTAGTTTGTAATAATCAATAAAACAAATAAAAATAAACTATTGAAATACATCATTGTGTAATAATTCCATTGGTTTTAATTTCCCTTTTTGATATCCATGTAAAAAAAAAAGAGACAGGAAGCGGTTGCTTAACCTTTTATTAACAGCAATGTGCATACTTTCAAATTGATATGAGCTTTAAAAACCATTAAAAAAAATCATGAATGCCTTTCTTTTACTGAGGTGGGGGAAGAAAATTAGAACGACAGCCCCCTCTCCTGGCTGAATATTGAAATTGCACAGCACTGAGCATCTGGGGGCATCCAGAGGCTGAGAACTGATCTGGAAAAAGTGAGCAAAAAGACACTGAAGCGTTTGAGGGATGAGGCTAGATGCGGCTGAAGAGGCAGAGGACAGATCGATGCAAGCATTACTGCACTATGTTGCCTTCAAAGACCAACAGGTACAGATTGAGACCCACAAACACTCCTCGAATATCAAGGCCTTTTAAAAAACAAAGTAAGGACGTCGGTGATCTCTCTCTCATTCTCTAAACATATGGCACAAGTCAAGAAAAAACAAACAAGTAAACAAAACCTTTGGGACAAAATGCACAGGAATGCAAAAATGACATTTTTCTTTAACTGTATACAATAAGCTGTTCTTTAGAGTGACAGTATCAAAGCACAAATCGGTATGCTGTGCAAAAATAAAGGTTAATTAATAATAATACATAATGAGATGCCATCTTGAAACGTCGGTACAGTATTGAGGATTGCGGACCTCCCCAGTCCGTCACCACCCATCATTCAAGAAGTTTCTCAAGGCAACTAGGAAATAAACATGAGACAGAACTAGAGACGGCGCAGAGAGCTTCCAGTCAACACACAGCTTCAGCCGGAAGAGGTGAAGACAAACTGGGGCTAATTGGCACCCTCCCAATCAGAAAATAAAATAAAAAAACCCACCAAAAACATTCTTCATATACTGTTAGAGCCTCAAGTTAATGTACCTAAAAGCTGTTTGTGTGATTATATCCTTTAGATTCAGAGTACCTGGAGGTAAAAAGCTGCTGTTCCTGCTCCTGCGAACACTGGAAAAATGATACAAAAACAAAATGTGCAAGTCTGTGACTAAGAAGCAGTTACTTTTGGCTGTACACAGGTGAGCTGCTGTCTGTGCTAAAGAATCCGCTCCGCGTTTTGACAGCATTTATTCCTGAGTTAGTTGTTACAGTCGGCCCAAATACTGATTTTTACCGTAGACCGTGGGGCGGGGCCAGCGTACCCATGAGTCTACGCTACGAAAAGCCTCGGCGCTCGCTCCTCTTTTCAGAGCAACGAGAAGGCAAAGCTCAACAGAAAGCATTCGTCTTTTACCGAAAACTTTGAAAGCATTTTGGTTGCGTTATTACTGTTAATATACACAAGGTTCCCACTGGGCAAAGACTCTAATTTTTTCAGCTTTTTTTTTTTTTTTTAGAAAAAACTCTGGGGCATTGAGTAAAAATAATTTACTCATTACTACTGTACATAAGTTTATATTTCACAGATCTTTAAATCATACAACACTGAAGATGGCTTCTAATTTCGCAGAGTGGTAAAGGGCTATTTCGCTGCTTTTTTGGGCTTCTGGGTCGACTTTGATCAACTCTTTTTCATAATCTCTAAAACCCAATATATGTTGCTGCTCACGGCCTTAAAGCTGGCTTAAAGATGGTTTCTTCTATTATTCGTTGAAAGACTAATTTGGTCGTTTGGACATTTTTCTAGTCACAAAAAAAAGACATTCTTAGCAGGAGAACTAAAGGAGTGTAACTAGTTGGTTGATTTTAAAGAGGGGTAAAAGACTTGCTCAAAGGGCCCTGACCTTGGAGAGCACAGGGGGCCAAAATACTGTGAAAAGAACCTGGTGCAATTATTCTAGTAAGAAATGCAATGTAGCCCTTTCAACACCTGGCAACCAAGTGGAAGAAAAGTGGCAACTTCACCATTTTTTTTGCCACTTTTAAGAAAGAAATAACGCTGGACATGTAGAAATCTTTCCACCTATAAGAGACGTGGACGTATACGTGCGACCCACTTAAGTCTTAGTTACCTACATGGGACCGATAGATTCAGTGTTTGGCTTCTGGACCAACTGGATCTTAACATCTAGACTTGTCAAATCTGAATTATATGATCCTACATGTATTAGAATCTTTTACTTGCTTGTATAAATTGAATGGATGAAGTAGCACACCTCATGCAGTGCTTATACAGGAAAGCCTAAAGAGTGGTGGGCTTTTCATGATTACAGAAAAGTGCTGAAAATATAGGTAATCTCAATTATCACAGCGTCCAATTAGTAGTATTGCAATTTTATGAACTTCTAAAGTCACGTGGAACCAGTTACCAAAAAGACACTGAAATAGCCCTTTATCATTATTTACTCTGTGAATTTTCCTTAAATATGCTGATTCAAACGTATAAAAAAGCCAATTTTTGTTCTCCTGATATTCAGATTTGTATCTTTTAGATAATGGAAATACTTATGATAGTCTAGGACCTCAAACACATAAATCGAACTTTAAATGCAAAAATCAAATTTCAACCTTTTCACCGGTCGTGTAGGAACCTTGTGTATACACAAAAGAAAGAACAGAACTAAATGTTAAAAATACTAAACAGGTCGACAGCTTGAGAGGGCTGCAGGCTCACGAGCTGCGTATACTTTTCAAGTATGCTACATTATGAACTGGAAGGACAAATGATACTGTCACTTTAAAGAAGCAGGATGACGGTTAAACAGAGTATTCACAAATGTACATTTAAGGCTTTAATTGTTTAGCACTAACAATAATAGCAGCAGTGAAACACTTCTGAATTAATTATACCAACAATATTTATGATCATATAACAACAATATATTATCAAAGAAAGTCTTTTTTTTTTCTTTTCGTTTTTGTTTTGTAACACTGGACTCAGCTGGAGACAGAAACCCGGTCCAGCCAGTGAGTTCAGACAACAGAAAGAAAACATGTGAGCCACCACAGATCACGCAACAACTAGCCTGTCTGCTAGCCTCTGTGGCTACACCAGGCCCTGCCTTATAACTTAGAGCAGTAGTACATTAACAGAGCGCGAGTCCAAGTACGCGGACTGGAGTACACATTCATGTTGAGACGGACAGGAGAGGGAGGGGCTTCATCCGAGAGGAGGACGAGTGGAGTAAAAAGTCTGGCAAACACACACACACACCCACACACACACACAGAGGCAACCATGCTCACGTACACAAAACACACAAGCAGCCAGCAACATGTCCAGACCTGAAATCATCATCATGCTACAAACAAAACAACGACACGCTTGCTGTTTTTTTTTATGTAAAAAAAAAAAAAAAGTACCAAAGCAACGTTAATTAAAGGCCGTATCCGACTAAAGTCAAGATGAAAAGCTCTGCTGCACGTTTTCCAAGGTTCTGCTGACTAACGCATCCTGGTGAGGAAGACGCCCGATTCGTCCTTCCTCTTCCTTCCTGTCTTCCCGTAATCCGACTCCTGTCCCCCCGCACCTCCCCGCCATCCCTGCAGTGGTACCAAGAGCAACCCTCCAATCTGAACCATTTTCACATATTATTTATGCACGTACTGTATATATTACACACATTTAATATATACTTACTTATATATTAAATTCTCATATAGACATACACTTTTAGTTTTCCTTGTGAGGTGTTGATTATATTTTCAGCGAGAGGCTTCAACAAGAAAGATGAGAGTCTGTCTTCGCCAGATTCCTATGAAAGTCTCGGATCGCCGCGTTTGGGCGATCCCGAGGAGATGCTCCTGAAACCAAACACTCGAAGAGAAAAGAGAAAGAAAACAAAAAGAGCATGACACTTTTGAAAGCGCATGGAGTGCCTGGCGCAGATTCCTGCAGATACTGTGAGCTTGTTGAGTAACAGCCAGGTCAGAAACCACAGGAGGGTTTGGTGGGAGGGGGGTCGGGGAGGGGAGCACTTTACGTAGTCCTGGAGGCAGTAGGCTTTTCTGGTCGGGTCTGTGCCGACCAAAACCAAACCAGGCTGAGCCAAGCTAGGGCAAAGAGAGCAAACCGCGATTCGTGGGCGCCACAATCTGCTATGTGAAAATGTGGGCGGTGGAGGGAACAGAGACGAACTCACGCAGGATGTTCTTGGCCATTTCTATATTGTTCTGTGCAATCATCAGAGCTTTCTGGATGTCCTGGTAGGAGTAGCCCTGACTCATGAGGTGCTCGATCTCGCTGCTGATCAGGGGGTTGGCTTCCCCACCCGCTGCGCCGCCGCCGGGCGGAGCGGGCACAGGCGGGACGGGGCTGTGGCGGCGTTCTGAGTTGATCCGTCTGGGCAGCGGCTTTGGAGGTCTCTCCGGTGCTTCGGCTGGCTCTAAAGCAGCTGAGGGAGAAAAAGAGGAAGAGGAAGAGTTTGGATTTAAACAGCAACTAAAGGTCAACGTGAAGAGATCATTTATTTAACTAGAAACGGCGCTGCAGTTAAAAGATGGCTCATAATTATAATTAGGTTTGAGGGAAGAGACATGTCCTTTCACACAATCTGAAACCTTTTCAGCTTTCCACTGCAGTGACATTTAACAAAGCACTGCGAGAGGGCCGGCTGCAATCTGCCAGCTTGTCAGCTTGACGCAGAGTGATTTAATTGGCTCTCAAAATCAAACATGCAGAGTGCCCGTGTGTGGTAAATGTCAACCCAGCACAGAGGTATCACTGTGAGAAATCAAGAAACAACTGCTGAATAGACTTCCTGCACTGTGGCTAAACCTCAAGGCTTGCAAAGGCATGACATGCAATTGTCTTGTCATCACACCTTCACCAGATTTGCCATCGACTTCACCAAATGATGGCAAAATTGGAGCTCAATCTTTAAACTAAACTAACTAAAACTAACTAACTAAACTAAACTAACTAAAAAGCTAACTTTTTCAGGTAATAAGTAAGCCAGTAGCAAGCTCCTAATTTATGCTTTGTGTGTCTTTGGAAAACCACTGATGGATTATTGATACAAAAAAAACAGCCATGAGTCACACAATTAACCAATAAAAGCTTCTCATAAACTTTATTTGCATCATCTCTAATTTTAAGCTTTGCTTTCTAAAAGCAAACACCACGTTTGATTTGTTCAGTTTAGAGATGTTATGTTGCCGTGTTAAACTTACATGCCGCAGCTCCAAAATCTGAATCTAGGGAAAGGCGGTTAAAGGCTGCCACGGAGGACGAGCACGACGATGAGGAGGATGAAGATGAAGACAGAGAACCCCCCATTTCTGAGAAGGTCCGCCGAGCAGGGGGCTGTGGTAGCCGGGGCTTTGGGAAGTCGTAGCCGTTATCCTCTTCCTCTCTATCCTCCGCTGCGTGGTCTCTGGGCCCGTTGGTGACCGGCAGGGGAGGCAGCTCTGAGTAATCTGAAAGGAAGGACGATAATCTCATCATAAAACCACCAGAAATATTCACACTGCAGTGTCAGAGTCCCCTCAGACAGGGAGTTGAGGGGGATTTTTAGGCTGTCTGGTTTTGTGGTTAGAAGAAAATACCTGAATCTCTGGCTTGCTGTGACCTCGGCTGGACGCTGTACATGGCTTCATACGATATCAGCCCGACCTCTGCACCTAGCGTGAGCCTACAACAACAAATGATGGGTTTAAAGCTCAGACCACGAGTCAAAGATCTTTCCTAAAGTGCCTTTAGGAAGGTTTGAATACCGCGAGTTGACTGCAGGGGCTTGAGTCTGTGTCAGAGGGTGAGGGGGCCTTTGGACTTGTAGGGTGTCTGGTACTGATGGGACGGCAATGGGGCGAGATGAAGGGATCATGTACTCAGAGTCTTCCTCGCTGTCACACGCCTCCTCTCCAGGCACTTGCCTCAAACCTTGAGACGACCTGGGAACAGACAGACTGTATGAGAAGACTCTGAGAGGAAACATCGTGTATAGCTTCCAGATCACCGGTCAATCTCAGGGTCATTTGGACGTACCTGTTTGCCAGTGAGTAGATGGCATTGGCCGAGGCTGATGGTTTCACTTTGGGGTTGTCGTAATCTTGAGAAGCTATGTCAACAAAATTCTAGAGGAGGAAATAGATTTCACCAGTTTTAGTTACTTTACCCAAAAAAACTGAACATTAAAATCGAGATAATTAAAAGATATAACTTAGGGTCGTGTTTTTCTTCTGCCAAAACTAGAGAGCCAGTTAGAACTGAAGGGTTTAATCCGGTGTATCATAAGCCTGGCGGCCCACTAGGCTTTATTTGCCTCCACGCCAGACTAAGTGTTGTTTATTTAAACAGGTTTTTTTTAAAGTACACATGGTTTCTAGTTAATAAAAAAACTCAAGGTAGCAATTAGATGGACTCATTTTACCATTTATTACTGGGTGAGGAGTTAATTTTAGAGATACTTTTATTTATTTCTCCTTTGTCAACCTTTATAATAAAGGGATGCTTGTGATATTCTCAGTTTCAGAAACCCCATCCTATTTAACATTTACGAGACTACAATGGGCGAATATTGTAAATAAAGTTTAGTTTAGCTTTTTGTAGCGCATGTGTTTCATGGAAAGGGAAAGACTACTTCCTGGTTGCATGTTACCGACACTTGGAAACTTGTGATCCGATTTCTTTGCTGCTCAATCTCAGCAACGCATTCTTTAAAGCAGGCATGTTATTACGCAGGACCACACAGAGAGCTTCTACCAGAGGGTGCCAATTTCTATGTTGTAACTAGAAAGAGCAGCTTATGCATCATAATAGAGAAAGAAACATTATGGAATGTCTGATTAGGGAAGGATTAGGATAAGCATATGTTGGAAAAATAAAAATTGTACCAAAATATAGCAGAAGACTTAAAGGAGGAACAGGAGTGATGATGATGTGACAGTAGAGTCTGATGTTCTCTTTAGTTTCTTTTACTGAAACTAAAGAGTTGAAAGATCTTTTGATAACTCAGATTTTAACCAACCAAAACAGAATTTTTTAGACATTTTTTAAAAAAAAAAAAAAAAAAAGATAAAAACAATTAAAAATGTCTTCTAAAAATAATACAGGTGTTTCAAGTTTTGCAACTTTTAATAAGTTAATTCAGCATATTCATTAGTTTTTTTTCCTAATCCCCATGAATGTTCCCGAGATGAAAATTATGGTTGCGGAAGACCAAACTGAGCAGCCCAGGAATGATTAGAGAGTGTTCAGAGTCAGATGTTTCGTAAAGACATATGGGTCTTATTCATGAGGAGTGACTGAGGAGGAAAAGACTGAAACTTTTTTCACAGAGTCATCCAAGGAGAGTGATGCCTGCTCGCTGTTATCAAACATGTCAGATAACTTCAAAAAATGAGAAAACTCAGACTCTTGAAGGCTGTAAGGCTGAAGCTGACAGTGTAACAGAGACGTTAGGGCACCAAACAGAGTGAATAAGCAAGGAGCAGAGTTGGTCTTTTAGTGTTATAAAGAAGAATCAGACTGTATTAAGCATCTGTGATGGCGGATTATGCAAGCTGACAAGCTGTGAGGTTTGTTTCTTCCTGAAGTTTTTGAGGGAAGGCTTTCCACAAGGCTCAGATTGTGGAAGACTGGCTCACATTCTCTCCTTAATTAATCCCAACATTGTTCCATCAGGTTGAGGTCCGGACTCTTCCGCATTGAACCTGCTCATCTGCGTCTTTATGGACTATTCTTTTTGTACTGGTTACGGTGGTAACACAAACTGTACCCAAACAAAGCTGTGAGCAATAAATTAATCAAAATGTTGCGTTACACTAAAGAGTTTCTTTCAACCAAAGTTCTGTAGCCATTAACCCTGCAGAGAGTTGACGACCTCTGCACGCTATGTGGCTCGGCACCTGCAAACCGCACTCTGATTTTATGTGGCCTACCACTTGTGGCAGAGTTGCTGTCGTTCCCATTTGCCTCCTCCTCGTTATGACACCACCAACAGTTGACCGTGGAAAGTTTTGTGGCATGGAAAATTCAAACTTGTTGCTCAGGTGGCATTTTATCACAGTGCAGTGCTGAAAATCACCCATTGCTTCACAAATGTTTGTGAAATCAGTTTGCGTGCTCCAGTGCTGGATGCTATGCAACTGTAGCCACAGAAGTGATTTTGACTGATGGCTAAAGTGTATGAAAAATCCCTTAAATTTGATTAATAACTTTATTTAGACATTGGCCTAAGTAAGGTAAAAATAATTTTGTTTTTTTTTTAAGCCCTGTATCGCAGTCCCTAGCTTACAAAACTGTGTCCATGCTTAGCAACAGGTTTTAGCCAACTACTGTAATAAATGTTTCTTAAGTCAAAAAAATCCACTATAATGAAGGACATGATGCTGAATAAGGTAAACTGAACTTTTTAGACTTTAATTCATGAATCACAAAGCAACACAGTTTGGGATCAGATTTCTTCCACAGGGATAAGTCGATTTCTAGAAAACCGTAAATCTGAACCCAGGACTCACAGGTGAAATAAACATGAAACAAAAAAACTAAAGCCAGCTGCAGGAGAGGCTTAATAATGCAACAGTAAACCATGTTGATTCACTGATGTGTAGGAAAAATGGGAGGAATTGTATAGAATTTTCTTATTTGAGCTTTATGTAATGTTAAATAATGATTTTCCCTCATCAAAAACATAAAACTGGTGTGTTCTTTCGACTCATTAATGAAAGTCTGAGGAATCATTGAATCTCCACTTCCTGCCTATTTGCCCCATCTAAGCTGCTAAAATGCTTCAAAATATTGAAATATTTGAAGTCCTTGAAGCGTAACCAACCCCCAGATCAACTTTCTTTGTTATAAACTCTATTAACAGGTTATGTAAGGTTCTAGTTTCTGAGTGAATTTTGAATTTTTTGTGCAAGTTTGCTTAATTTGTCAATATTTTGAGATCAGGAATAAAACCACCTCATTCAGACACACGGCCCCGTCCCGAGACGAGTCAGGAGTTGGAATAGTGAGACTGACGGTGACAAACGCCGACCCAGAGCGTCAATCAGCTCTGCAAACATGTGACTCACTTGCAATGTGAAAACATAGTGGAATGGGTCTTTTTCTCTGCTCTGACCACTGGTCAGAGTACTGGTACTGCAGGATGAACGATTGCGTGAGACGGACTGCAGTTCTTAGGAAATGGGAGAAGCTCATGTTAGAACTCACTGTTTACTCAGGACGCTGCAGAACGTTGTCGCCATAAAAGCTTCCAACAACCCACATTAAAAAGTTGATAAATTTATCCACTGATTATTTTTTTTTTTTAGGAGGTGGGGGGGAGTAGAAAAATAGAGCGACAAAGTGCTGAAGTTAACAGTTCTTCTTCTTTCCGTGCCCTCCAATCATCTCCACACTCGGCCGTGTTTCTTGGCTTCGCCCACTTTCGTAGAATTCTTCAAAATTTGCCGGGTTTAGCTTTCACAGGCAGGTTAGCTACACTTTAAGCCCCAAACTGTATAATTTTTACCTAGCATTCATTAACTTTTTCTAATAAACTCTAATACCATCAATAAAATGGTATGAAAGATAAAGAAAAATTAATTTAAATTGTTTAATGATTTAAAAAAAAAAGACATGAAATAAATCCTGGGCTGCTAAAGACTAAATTTGTGGAAGCTCTAGTGATGAGCGACCTGTCAAAAATAACAGAGTCTATATTTAGGAAATGCTATCCAAAGTCTTTTGTGGACAAATTCTATAAACATTAGATAAATCAGATGTTTAGTGTGTGTGTGTGTGTTGGTTCTGACCAGCTGCTGGTCCAGACTGAGGGAGCTGTTGTTCTTCTGAGAGTCGGCGCGGTTGTCCAGCGCAGAGGGCAGCGCCAAGGGGAGGGAGTGTCTGTTGGAGAGCTCCCTGACACCTGCTCTGAGGTCGCCCCCCAGGCTGGGCACGTGGGTGGACGAGGAGGATGGTGAAGACGATGAAGAAGAGGGGGTGGGAGCTTTGGGAACGGGTCTGGAGTTCCAGTCAGCCATAGGACGGTTCGGGGGAGTGGGAGGGAGCTTATCTCGAAGGGGCTCCCCTGGAGTGCAGGGTAGGGGCCGTCTTGGATGCCGAGCTTCTGGAGCCGCCCCGCCTGCGTGGGGTCTGTCTGGAGGAGGGGGAGGGGGGAGGTCCCGCAGTGCAGGGGGAAGTGGAAGAGGCTTGTCTTTGTGATGTGTTGCTGCCTGGAGGGGCGACAGAGACGGAAGGAGCTCTTTTAGATGAAACACCAGAAAGACCAAAAGCCAAAGAAAATTATTTTCCAATGCGGGAAATAATCAGCTTAGAAGGAAAACCATCAATCATCAGGGGGATTTAGATGAATGACAGCAAGAGGGAAAAAAATGTTAATCTACCAAGTGCACTTTCTGTTTATAAGCAAAGACATGTTGCTGTGGTATTCGAGTAAGAGAAAGTAAAATAGAGTAACAGGGAAAAAGAAGTAAAAATATCCTAGTAAGGTGCAGAAATACTAGTTCAGTGCATCAAGTAGCATTGCACCAAAGTATTTTCAGCTACTCAAACTGCACTTTCAATCTTTTACATACAGTTATACAAAAAAACTGCAAGTAGCCACATTTTTCATGAATAATTGGAGTTATATTCCATAAAAATGTATGCAGAAAGGCTGAGGTCCAGTCTGTATGGCTGGTTTGTGTTGCTCTGAGATTAAATTATCTGAATTTGAACCAAGCAGGAAATTAAATACTTAACTGTTAAGATATATGAAATTACAACAATAGTAGCTTGGAGATGTTTAAAACTGGTTTGACTGAAAGTTGAGCATTCAAACTGATAACAGATCACAACAACAGTGAATAGTTTGTTTGTATATATGCAGGAATAAAATAAACAAATGAAAGAAAAACTTATTTTCCTTTAAAAGCTTAGACTAAAATAACCCTGACAGTATCATAAAGCTGAATCTGTGTATTTAGTCAACACTCCATTTTTAATCTGAACTAAGGCGTTGGATGAAAATGATCAATACTTTGAATAAATAACTGAGCTTATTACACTGCTTGACAACGAGGATCAATTGGAATGTATGAAGAATTGAACTGAAGGTATTTCTTTTGTTAATTGGTGCTGTATAAATAAAGTGAACCCAATTTGTTTACCTTACTGGTGGCCCCTGGACTGGAGGCACCAGGGGGGTTTGGAGGTCTGTGTGGTAACAAGTCAAGTCTGGGAGGCACTGGGGGAAGAGATGACTGAGGGGGCATGGACATAGGCGATGGGGGGCGGTCCACCTGGATGAGACAAGAGAGGCAACCGTGAGATCCAATCCATTAACTGTCGTACTTTCAGTAATAAATAAAACAGTTCCAACACATATTGTATACGACTGTATGTACAGAAGTTGCTGAAAAGGCTCGGTTAGGTGGTAATCGAGGTACTTCAAAGCAGCTCAGGTTGTCAGCAAGTCACGCATACAGATTTTCTCAGAGGCATTAAAACATGTAGGGCATTTCTAACACAGAGACGTGAGAAAAAGCTGCTTCTCTGGCATCATGAACGATGCAGATGAAAGGCCAAAGTAACCAGATGTGAGCTATCAGCTCAGAAAAGGAAGACATGACAGGTGAGAATGTGTTTTATCTACACTGAGGTTGGTCTGAAGAGTCCCTTGTGGGTTGTTTCACAAAGAAAAAAAAATAATTACCCCAATCTTTTTCCACAATCTTACCTTTGTGCCAGCAAGTTTGCTCATCACCAGGTGGGGGTCTTCAAGTCTGTCGTCATCGTCGTCGTCGTAGCTTGGCGATGGAGCTCCCTCGGCTCCCATGGCGGCCCGACTTGAGCCCCCGCTGTTGTCCTTGGGGTCAAAAGGATCTACGACAATCGGCTCTGTACCTTTAATCTCACACCGGCAGAAGGGGCATCCCGTTCCCTGACCCTCCGACTCCTGGAGCACAGGCAGAAAGCAAGGAGTGAAGACAAGCTGACAAGAAGCTGGAAACTTCATCGACACGCTCAAGAGCTCTTCAGGAAATCCACCTTGGCATGACGACACCGCCTTTCCATTTCCAAAAACAGATTTCTAGATTTTTTCCCAGCAGACACTTGGCTTGGAAAAGGTGGATAAAAATATTGACTTGGGTTTTATTATTCGGATGTTACACTAATCACGAAAGGTAAAGTTAGCTTTTGATTCTGCAGTGGGTTTCTGTTTTCCACCTAAATAAAGTTAATTGAGCTTGAGCTCAGAACGAATAACACAAATAAATGCAGACTTAATTATGTCCTACTATACAGAAGAGTGCCTATGCTTTATTTATAAAAAAAAAATAGAAATCGAATCCAGCTTAAAACTATCATGTCAGATAGATGAGACAATGCCACCCTCTGTTTTTGATGGAGTGCATTCTCCCATTAGTCACGTCTGCAACTCAAAAGCCAAAACAGGCAAAAGCTTCGGCCAACTCCAAAGTTTTTAATTTGTCAAACCAAACGCTAAGGATTATCTGTACATAAAAAAATGAAAAAAAAAATAAAAATAAAAATATGAGGAATAGAAATAATGAGCTATTTAAATTTTATTTAAATAAAATTAAATTAATGACTTGTGAAAAATAAATATGGAATGCTGTGCAAATGCAAACATTGTGCCACAGCGTTTCTTTTACCCACTCGTACTTGGAAAGATGAACTCAAACGCTAGAGTGGTGTAAGAGTGCTAACCGTAACCTGTGACATGCAAGCCCACCGACTCAAACCCCTTTGCTTCCACCCACTCTTGTACCTGCCAGGCGGTGAGACAGGAGGTGCACATCAGATGGCCACAGGGCTCGATCTTCACATCTTTGTCATTCTCCGCGCAGATTTTACAGAGCTGGAAAGTGGAGCCCATCTCACAGTACAGCTCATATTGTTCCTGAGGGCGGGAACAAAACAAAAAAAAAACATGAGAAGACAGTAACATCACAGAGAACTGACACCACCTGAGATCCTGCTGAGCAGAGCCTGGGAGGATGGGGAGCGATCAGTTAGAGCGAGGAGGCGTACGCCGAGTTTCGGTTCTGCGCTGATGCAGAGATAAGGTCGGCAAGAACCGAGGCAAAAACTGCTTTTTACACATTTCCGTAATGAGTCGTTCTCACTAAAAATGTTGTGACCTTAAAGGTCAGATGTATTAAATGAAAAAAAGAAAAAAAAACCCTGAAAGATAAAACAATTCTGTCTTTCTGAAGGAAAGTAACTCTGAAATTTGAGGACCGTAAAAGCCGCAAACCAATACGTTAATAAGCTGTTGAAGAAATAATTTGTAGGAGTCATTTAAATAAAATTGGAAATTAATACATTAAACATGTGTTTAATGTTTGCACAATTCTTCTTAAAACTTTATTAAAATAAATAAAAAACGTGCAATAGCTCTCCAAAGCTGTGCAACGAATTAATTGTGTCCAGTTAATTTTAATTTCATTTTAGCTGCAGGTACTGTAGCGTAGATGCTTATTTAATTTTTTTTAGATATTTTCATATTCAAATGGGTATATTTTGTTACTCTCCTGCTGTAACAAGTGAATTTCTTCACTGTGGGATTAATAAAAGACTATCCTAATAATTTCTAACTAAATCTGATAAACACATAAGTAAGTATTGAATGGAAAAATAAGTATAATGTAGCTTTATTTTTATTTTGCAAGAATAACAGTATGCACTTTCTATTGAGGTGTTACAGTGCGTTTAATTATTGACATATTCACTTTACTTTATGTTTCTATCTCAGTATTATTTAGATTATAAATATTGGACTGTGGTACTCAGTCTCTCAAAGCAGTGTTGAAGATATATTTTCTTCAAATAAACAATTTTTAATGAAATAATAAAAAGCAACGCAAATATACAAAAAACCCTCCAGCAAAGCATTGTGGGTATGCAGTCTGGTGGGAGCACGGCTCTCACCTGTGTGACTTTAATGTGGTCTTGAGGTGAAGGCTCACACAGACCCATCAGATCGGGGTTCTGAGTCCGGCCATCGGGGAATAAATAGCTGGGGGTCCAAAAGGAAATAAAGTGAAAATGTGCCCACACCAAACATCTCTGGTTAATTCAACAAGCATTTTAATTTAAAAGTAATTATTGTTATTAGAGTGATTATACCACTTGTATACCCAACAAGCTGCGGCGATGAAAACATCTGAGTTCATTTGCTTTGCGCAAGTTGCTGCATATACAGTACACGACAATTTTACAAATGGGTTGGACGCTGTAATTACCATCTGATAAATGTTTTGTAGACACAGGCCGTGTACTTTACAGGCTTTCCCAGCTCAAATCGGAGTTTGATTACAGGTTGGGGCAGGCCAAGCACAGTTTTCATTAAACACAAGAATCACCACTGGCAGGAAAAGACGGGTTTCGAGCCAGCCGGGTAAACCACTGACTGAGGTCCGCATTAGAAATCAATGGTTCTGCTCTGGTTATGATAACAGTGTGGTGACCAGGGGGTTGGCGGTGGCAGAGCTAGATGATATGGCTGGATTCACTTGAAGCTGAGAGGCAGATTCAATAGAAGGCTCCAAAGCAAGGGGGTAACCAAGTTCACACAGAGACGAACTTAAAAGAACAACAAAAGAAATGACAAAAAAAGAGAAGATCTGAAGGGCACAAACTGCATGCAGAGACTAGGCTCAGAAATCTAGGTGAAAAACCACAACAGATATAAATTAGTCAAACAAAAAGGGAACTTACAAGCCTTCTCTGAAACCATCAATGAGGGCCTGGAAGAGGGGCTTGTTATGGGGAATGGTTTGGAGAATATTCCCATCGGCTGTCACGTAACCGATGGCCCACTGGCCCAGTCGAGTGCAACTCAGTCGGAAGATATAACTGGGGAGGGAGAAAAAAAACGTTTCAAGTCATCTGAAAAAAATAAAAATAGATACCAGACACTGAAGACCAGAAATACGAGTAAACAAAAAGTAAGCTCAACTTTTAGGATACACTTACAGTGATTTGTGAATTGTGGTCCAGATTAGTGGTAGAAACTTCACCTTTGTTTCTTTCACGTCAACATTAATCGAAATGAAAGGACAGTTTTGTGGAACCATTTTTTAAATTCAATTCCAGGAATCAGTCTCTGTGTTCACGCAGTCTTATCGGCTAATTAATTTGAAAAGAAAAAGAAGATGCGAGTCTGTTACACTTGGCTTAAACCTTTTGAGAATAAGAAAAACCTGTCTTGAAACATTAAAACTGTAAGAGGAAATCTAACAATAAAACAAAGTGAAAGAGGAGCTTCAGATGAGTCAGCAAGAGACTGGGGTTTCTGGGCTCCATGTGCCGTCTAGCCTCAAGTTGGGAAATCTTTTAGAAAAATACTAGGAGGAACAGAGTGGCTTCGGAAATAAAGCTGAACTGGTCTCAATGCAACAGTGAAGCAGGATGGGTCTGAAGCATTTTTTGACTAATGTAAGCTAGCAAAAAAACAAAACAAAAAAAAAAACAAAACAAAGACTTGCATCAGCTCACTATAGCTAGTTGGAAAAAAAAAAGACAAAAAAAAAAGTAGAGCCATTAGGGAGCTCTGGATTGCTCTGAATTAAAGTGTAAAAAAGCAGCTTTTACATCGACCAGTAAGTGCTCTGGTGTTGATGTGGCCTTAAGCTGGCCAGGCCTGAAGAGTGACATCAACTTCCAATGCACAATCAGGCCATTGATGTAAGGTACCAGCGCCACGCCGCCCTGGGCTCTTTGGACTCGGCTCCAAACGCACCCACACAAAAATATGGCATGTACGGCTTAAGAATCCGTCACCGGGATTCAAGTTGTGATACTAAACAAACACGGACCGATTAAGGAGTTTTATTAAAAACAAGTCCTGAGAGCTGCAGCTAACCTGCGTCTGTGCAACAGTCAGTAGAAACACAATGTTACGCTCATGGTAAGGAAACAAAAGCAGAAACGTTTCTTGACATGACACATGATATTTGTCTTCTTGATGTGTTTGTGCTCAGACTGGTTCTCACCTGCCAGGCTTGTGGATGAATTTCTGCAGCCGAGCTTTGACCTCATCGTATGTGAGGAAGGCCATGTACCCTGGGTGAGTAACAGCCAAGCTGTTCCAGTTTCGCAGCAGGGATGACCAAGGCTACCCACGCACACACACAGAACGGTCATAGGAGAAAGGCAGAGTGAGTCATAGTGTGTCAGTGAATGGACACAGTAATAAAGAGCAGAAATGGACTAAGGAGAAATGCTGCATATTGCAACATGCATGGGTTTTGTTCAAACAGCTGTTCGGTGGACATCAGTGGGATTTATAGGCGGATCCGGCCAGAGTTGTTATGTTTAATGGCAGATGAACGTGCAGAGTTTAATGGCACGCGATGAAGTAAAAGAGTGATTTTCCATACTGTCCCGTAAATCAAACCATACGCAGTTCAGGCCGGAAAGTTTACATACCCTGATTGTTAACGCTGATTTAGTCTTTATGTGTTTTAAAGGTTCGTTTTGAAGTTCCTTATGATACGTCATACCCTGAGGAGTTTAAAAGAAAAAGGTTGAGCTTTAATTTGTACTGTGTACTTTCTACACATGATCAAAGTTATACAAACACTGACAAACAAACTCGCAGTTGGCTTTTGAGGTGGTCTTCTGGACTCAATGGTTTCAATCCAAGCAAAGATTCAAAAACTTTCTGACGCAGACCCAGTTTTTAGTGGTTCTAGTGGTTAAAATATGCAGCCAGAATCGAGCCGTGTGTTCACAAGAAGATTGTAAATCTTGCTAAAGTTTCAAATACCAGTTAAGCCATTTGAATGTTTGAGCCTTTAATGTATACGACACATTTTAACCGAGTGGGCCGTTGGTAAACTTTGGGATTCTGTCATTCTGCAATGAGGGGAAAAGAGTATTTATGACCCCACCTTTTCAAGGAGTTCACTGCTTAGCCAGAATACGCAATGACCAGGGAAACTGCAGAAAGCCAAGTGACATCTTGAGCTTCAAATGATCACTGAGCATATTCAAATATTAAAGCTCCTAACTGTATGACTCCAAAAGCTGTTGGGATTGGCTTTTAGAAGAAAATCTGCTCTTCTTTTTATGTGTTCGTTTTTATAACAAGTCTGACAAGTGCTGCTGTTCATTTGAGGATGTATTTAGTTAGTTTTAAAAACCTGTAGTAACCAGGCCTCATATGTAAAATTATGCACAAAACCATAGAAAAACCACTGAGTCGGCGAGTCAGCGAAGGTATTCTAGGCATGAATGAAAGCACATTAATGAGCCCAACTGGGAAACTGAAAAAGCTTCAGGTGTTCTCAGCAATGAGACTAAATGTTTTCTGTGGCTCGGACAAATCGGCTTGTATTAAAACTTGCGGCTTGTTTTTTATAGTTCTCCCACACAGGAAGTGACAAGTTCAAACTGTCTTGTTCAGTCGGAGTGCCCCATTTCTTCTTGCAGGCCTCATTCTAAGCTAATTATACTCCATCTTGCTCAAACAACTTTCACAAAAAAAGTTAACTGAACAAACTGTACCTTTAATTTTTGGTTTTCTTTATTACTGCACACACTTTTACATGATTTTACATAAATATACAACTACTACTAATCTTTTACGCAGCGTCAGTAGCTTAAGAACAGCCTTCAAAATGGTCTCAGTGTTACTTCCTCTGAGTATGAGGACATTAGGAGGAGATCTTTTTTTGTTTGGGGGAGGAAACGTCTGTAATCCGTTTAGGCTTCATTAAGCCGGTCAGAGCTTTGCGCAGAAGTTCCAAGGGATAATGTCACCCAGGGATAAATGACACGACAGCATAGCAGAGGTTTATGATACAAGAAGACTTGTGCAACTTAGAAAGGTAAGTATGCTAACTAGGGCCTTTTTTGACATTATTTCTAACAGTTTTAACATAAATTTATTTTAATACTGATGTAAAACCGTATATGTGCTGTTCAACATCAACCCATGCATGTGTAATATAAATTTGTGACAAAATGGAGTACAGTTGTTGCTTGTAACAAAGTGTGAAAATATGTTGAATTTACCAGCTTGTATTTAGGACTGTCAATACTACAATGTTTTATGATGTTTATATCTAAAACTAAAAATCAACAAAATTGTGTAGGCAAATAAAAATCAAAAGGTACAATAATACTTCACAAAATGTAGGAGGATTGTTTTAACTTCCATTTTATGACTGGGCAACAGTACTGGTGAATAAATGACTAAAAAAAAAAATATATATATATATATATACATATACTTGAAAGGTGCATAGCGTGTTTGTGTGGAGTTTCTACCTGGAATAGCCGAGTGAAGATGTCGAACTCAAACACTGAGATATAATCGTTGCAGGTAAGGTCTATGGTGGACTTGAGAGCCATGGCCTCCAGACCAGAGCTGATGTTATGAAACTCATGGAGAGACTGACGGAACACCTTCCAAGGCACAATGGTTCTGGGAACAGACCGACAATCAGACGTTTACAATCTCTCAAGAGCTTTGGATAACGTTGTGCATAAAGCTTGCTTTTAGAAAAACAAGCTACAATTGTTCTGTTCTTGTTTTAAATCTGGATTAGCAGTCTGCTGTAATGTGAAAATAAATTTTTGACTCTGCAGAAGGCTGCTCATACTGGAAGGCTGTTCCTGCCAGGAGGAAGTTATTCCTCTCCACTGTCGCCACTTCCTTCACAGGAGGAGAGATTGCTGTATTGTGTCAGTGACTTGATGCACAGTCACTAGACCGCTATGTAGTCAAGTTTAGCATTTCTATATTCTGCATTAATTGAACTGTACAGTATGACTCTAATTGAATAAATTGAACAGAGTTTATTCTTAACTGGATTTTTTTGTAACCACTGTATAAATCGAATCTATTTGTTTTGTGATGTTGTAAACTAATGTTATAAAAGTTTACTGGAATGAACTGAATTAATCTCGTTGTCCAATTCACTTAATTCTCATTGTAAATATAATAGGGGAAACTAAACTGAAATGCTATGGAAATGTTATGGTATAACAGAGTTATGTAAACACCAACCGAATTGCTGAAATGTCCACGGCTATATTGAACAGTAACTGAACTTAATGTTATGTAATGCATGAGTGCCAATGTTGTGACGGCTCCCTGCTGAGCTTTTTAAAACAGTCTAGAATCAGCGTCTTTGTCGACAATCTGATTAAAGATAGGTAATTTGGAGCAGGGCTGGGGAGGATATCATTTGGACGCCATATAATTTTCATTTTCAGACTGTAATAATAAACTTGCTGATGATGTTTCCAAACCCCCCAAAAACTGACTGTGTGCTGACTCATGCTGTCAACACTTTTCTTAACTTCTCCTTAAATGTAGCTGGTGAACTCAAATAGCCTAGCTGATATTTATTTTTAGAACAATATTTTGGTTTGGGGTCTAGACTGGATACTGTAAGGCTGTGCTGAACTAGCAAGTTTTTAATGGCAACTTTATCACGGCAATAAATAGCAGTATTGACACACTGTAGGTGGGCTATCCCTGTGATACATGAATACTCCACCGTAAAAAGACGAAAACGACGGCGCTTACTTGTCTCCGAAGGCGCGGGTCCAGAACTCTGCAGCATCAGCTTTGGTTATGCGGAAGCTGACACCTTGAAACAGGCCATTGGGGAAGATGGCTTTCAGCTCAGCCAGCATGTGACTGAAGATCAACGACAGCTTGGTGAGGTTTCGTCTGAAAAGTGGGGGAAAAAAACGAAACTTTAATATTTTTTAAAATCACTGGAGTTTTCTTAAAAGATCACCATTTTTCAGTAAACATCCAAACTTGTTGAATCAAAACCAGAAACACACGATGAATTTATTTAAACACTGAAGCATTTAAATCTACCAACATTTAAAACAGCTTTGTACTCTGTTTATCTTTGTCCAACATTAAAATTTGATTGATTTCAGAAAATATTTGGATGAAAAGCAAGCAAATATTTTTGTGGCACATTATGATTTAACTGATCATTTGTGAATATTACCAGAAAAACAAGAAACTGAGAAACCACCACAGTTTGTAATTATATTTTACCCAAAATGAACTGCTAAAAAATACAAGGGAAAAACTGCCAAATCATACAAGTAAATTGCTATAAATAAAGTTTGCTTTTGTTGGTCGAAAAAACAAAAAGTCCTACTGCTGGAGTTTGGCTGAGTGAACGTAAAAGTAAACCAATATGCTTATAGTTGATACAGTTTATTTAGGCTTCAATGGTGGCTTTATAAATAAAGATGGCAAGAACTGCCTGTCCTCCAACAACCAAACAACTTAAATTTTTTCACAGATGGTTGAATAGGGCTGGAGCAGCTGACACAAACTGAACTGTTGGCAGTCAGTGACCATAAACGGACCACATCAAAGACGTTGACACATTCAGTTGTGATTAGATATAACAGGATTTAATAGGCATTAAACAAATGGATGGAACATTTGTGCCATCCATTTTAATAACATGTTTCTTTTTACTTTGTGAGGCAAACTCAACATCTTTTCTTCAGAAGGTCACAAGAACTGATTGTGGGTTGTTTTGTAGTCTGGCGGGGGATTTTCAGAGTTCCCAGTAGGAAATGGAACAAGAGCATCCCATTAAATTGGAACGCCACACTCAACCCTCAGTTGTGTGTCCAATATGGCTGCAGCAGATTTATGGAAGTTGTGAAAGCTGCCAGTATAAACTAGTTATTAGCGCTTCTGGGGGTTTGCGTCTCTTAAAATTTGTGGTGTCAAGTTTCTAGGAGAGAAGAGTTTTATAAGATTGTGGCAGATTAACTTTTTTCATTTTGATGCAACCTACAAACGGTGCAATATAAGAGAAAGGTTTTTTGGGTAGGACTCTATGAGCATGGAACGTTTTAATTTGGGAGTATTTTCTTATTCTTTGCCAAAATCCAGATTTGTCAGATTATGAGGAAATATTTTATGCACACCACACCCCTCTTTAAATCTTACCACAATCTGTTTAGTTTCAGGCTGTGTCTGGGTCATTACACAACTTTTACATTTTTCTGACAAAAGCCATTCTATTAATCTGGAATTACGCTGTGAAATGTGAAGTTCCCCTTCATCTTACAAACTGAAGTCTGAACACTGGTACTTGGAATTGCTCATAATCCCCTCCGCCCAGTTAAAGATGGATATAAAAAACATATGTCCAAAACATGAATCACCATCACACTTCACTGTGTTTCTGCACATTCCTATTGGAGTGGTAGATAAAGGGTCCAAACTTTGACTCAGACCAGAACACATTTTCCCACAAGTGCTTTTGGTTGGCTTTAAATATATTTATGAAGGGCTTGAATGATTTTCTGCTTGTTTTTCTGTCTCACATCCCTATAACAGAGACATATAAAAAACAGGAGTGCACCGATTGCAGTTTTCTGGCCGGTTGCCGATTATCGATCTTTTAAAAAGCCTAACATACCGATTCCGACTGATACCAATTTTTTTGCATGAAATGTCGTTAAATACAGCAAGAAATAGGGCTGTGTGATTCTATGGTATTTATCCATATTTTTTTTTCTCAGAAAGTATAAATTTTTCATCATTGAGTATCGTTACATTAAATCCTACTTTGAGTTTTATGTCAAATCCACATGAAGTTAATGACAGCTATCACACGTGACATTTTCTTACCCAGCTGCACATGTACATTAAAAACAACATGCAATGAAACAACCAGTTACAATTAATTAATTAAGTGAAATAGATAAATTACATTATTTAATATAAGTGAATAAGACAAAAAAGGTTCGTTTTCTGCATAACCAAATACACAAAGCCACACAAGTAACATTTCAACAAAGCAAATGCATAACAAATGTATAACAAAAACAACATTCATTACACCAGTATTACACCATCAGTTATATTAATTCAATCCAACTCTAAGGAACAGTCACAAAATGTCACCAAAATTACTCGGTCTCTCTAAAATCTTGTATTGCACAACAAGTATTTGCCAGAAGTTTCTGTGGCCCATTTAATGTGGTTGTGGACTTCCCTTACCACCATTTGTTCCTTCCGTTTATTTATTTATTTTTTTAAATCAAATTTGAAACATCTTCTTCTTTGTTATGCATTTGTTGCACCAAATTTTCTTGACTTGATGTCTGTCTTTGAACTGTGCACTATAGTTTTTCTTGTATCTATCCCCTCACTGATACCTTTTGCCAATTCAGTCCTTGTGATGCAATGAAAGTTTTTGCAGGACTTCTACTTAACATAAGTTTTAATATAGTGGTGTGTTCTGAATGCAGTTACACAGTTATGCAATCATATTACCCAAGTTTTGTTTTTTTATTAGTATTATTGTTATTTCTCAGCCTGGGTTAGGGTAAAGATTATAACCTGTAACGCTAAGCTTTACAGGTTATAGGTCAAATTAAATATGAAAAGTTCTGAAAAGGAAGTGAACTATTTACATAGCACCCCTTACAGGTCAAAACCAAGCAATTTAACAGGGTATATAGACTTTTTGTACCCACTGAATGTGGCATCTACACATACCACAAACACTCATACAAGTGACTAGATGACAGAAAATCCAGCGAGATTAAGGGTTACAATATTCAAGCAACAAATAAAAACATAAAATTGAAGGCTTAGTTTCTATTTGGAGTTCCTCCTCGTTAAAAGTGTCCCACAGTAGGGCTCCCTTTGACATACGAATTAGCTCACAGGATGAATTAGAAATTGAGGCTGCAGCGTCTTTCAGTTCTGACTCAGTTTCAACAGGGCTGGTCAACAAGCACAGAGAAGAGGAAGTGACTGATGGGCTGGAGCGGAAAATAAAGATGACACAACAAGGAAGCTGAGAAGAGAGCAAACTAGAAGCAAGAGGGAACTGTCAAAAACAAAAAGGAGAATAAGAAGCACGAGTCCATGCTGACAATGACTTTAGTATAGCACTCTGTGCTGAAAAAGTGAAGATTAAAAGAGCAGCACGGAGACTGAGCTGGCAGGCTGAATTGACATGCACGAGACAGTCGGTGCTGAAAACGCTGCAACGCTGCAGCTGCCCCGCACCACAGCACACACCCAGCAAGGGAAGGGGAGGGGAGTAAAGAATGAACGAGGAAGGACAGAAAACAAAAATGCATTAAAACGATTATTGCAAGATTAAACCCTGGGGGGGGGGAACAAAAATACTGTGCTTGTCAGAGAAGCGTATAAAACTAATGAAAAGCCTCTCATTAGTAAATGATTTTCAAAACAGTTAACACTTGTGGAGTTCACTGTCCAACACTTTGAAGTGCTCCTTCCACTTAGACTCTACAGAACTGGCTTTAAGCTGGATGCAGCCACAGTAGCTGCCTTTGAAGTGAGCACTGCACTCGTCGGTAAAGCCCAGAGACAAATTAGCCGATCAGCTACTCAGAAATACTAGGATGAACTTGTGATGCTTCCGGCAAGAGCTTCTTTACCTCAGAGTTTAGTCATAAAAGGCGAGTGTGTCTTCGGCAGTGTAACCTCAGCAGGACAGGAGGTCACCCTCCATTTCTTCTGCTCCCTGGATGGGTCAGTCCTGCTCAGCCTTAAAGCCATCATCTCATCCATTCCACCTCTGCGTGCTTTTATCTATTCTACAACAACCTCGCGCTGTGATCTGCTTTCTCTTTAAACCAAAAACCTTGTCCCTCCTTTCAGTTTGTTCATTCATCTCACCTCTGTAACAGATGTTATATCTATTATGTTTAAGTGTGTTTGTCCACTCACAGCCTCCTTGATTTTGAAACATTCATGCAGGCTACCAACAATTAGGAACCCTCCATTTGATATCATTTCTTATTCATCAGATTCTCCCATGGTCGATGCACACAGTCTGGACTGGAATCTAAGTATAGTTTATTAGCTTCCCACATACGTACTTGTACTCCTTCAACTCTGTTTTTTGCATTACTTCAGCATATTTTATGTAACAAATACAAAGTAGTACTAAGTGGATGGTAACAGTTGTTTCAAAATTACAAATAACACTGCCATGCATTCGTCTTCAGGTCACTGTGTAAAAACTGAACTGTTCACAGCAATTAAGTCCTTTTGGATGCATCTCAATCTAGACAGAGGTTTCACTTTGCCCATTGTTCTTTTAATAACAGCCTAATGCCAAGACCATTGGATGGAGAACAATTTAATTTATGTTGAAGCCTTGCCACAGAACCTCAATCGGATCTGGGTATGGACTCTCCCTGGGACCTTTGTAAGACATCAGTATGATTTAATCTACATCGTCTCATCATTATCGTGGCTGAGTAATTCTCATTTGATGCCAAACTCTCAATCTCAAGTTAAATAATTTCACTGAACTCCAGTCCAGAATTGCACAGCATTCTGGGGGATGTAGGCAGAGGAAAGACTTGAGTTGTAGATATGCATTACTGAACTGAACGACACCTCTTAGCCGCTATAGCTAGTGCCGTGCACCTGGAGGCGCTAGTACTGTGCATTGAGTCATGTCAATAAAGTTCCAATGTGTGATAAGCAGGAATCTGCCACAAAAATGGTCCATTATAGAATAAATGACCTACTTCTCACTTTCTCCATATATTTTTTTCAAATTAAAATTTTTTTCTGGCCTGGGAAAGGTGATACCCTTGGACTTTGTTCTGTCTTGGTTGGTTTGCAGTTGTAACATCTTCTATTCCGAACCGTACTCTGCAAGACGACTGAACCCTGAGATGTTG